AGGTTCCTTTCCAGGTTCCCATCTCCATCAGCGGAGGGAACAGATGCACTCCGCAGTCCCTGGCCCAGGGAATTGCTCTATGTCTTCCCTCCCCTGCCACGATCAGGAAGATCCTTCACAAATGAGCAGAGGTCCTCCTGGTTGTGCCGCATTGGCCGAGACGCTCTTGGTCGCCGACCTGATGGAGCTCTCCGCATCCCTTCCATGGAGGATCCCAGCAAATTGCATCTCCCACATTCAGGGGGAACTACGCCATCCAGACCCTCAATGGCTCCAGTTAACGGTCTGGCACTTGAGAGGCAGGCCTTAGGCCGAGACTCATATTCATTGAAGGTCATAGCTATGATTCAGCAATCCAGGTGACCCTCGACAAATAGAATATACGATGCCACGTGGAGAGGCTCCTGTAATTGGTGTTTAGTTCGAAAAATTGACCTTTTGGCGGTTTCAATGCCAGTTATCTTGGAGTTCCTGAGGGATGGTCTAGACAAAGGGCTTTCCACAAGCACCATCCGCAGGCAGGTAGCATCACTTGCCACAGTTATTTCCTGCGGCAATGAATCCTTAACACATCACCCTATGATACACTCCTTCCTAAAAGGAGCTAACAACGTCAGACCATCAACGGTACATAGATATCCCTCGTGGGATCTTCATCAGGTTTATAGGCTCTTGTCTCGCACCCTTTGAACTATTGACACTGGTTTGTTCAAACAGTTATCGATGAAGGTGGCATTTCTTGTTGCTGTAACTTCAGCCAGAAGGATCTCTGAACTGGCTGCTCTTCAGTGAGGAAGGACCTGTGTACTTTCCATAAGGACAGGGTAACCCTTAGGCTAGGCCCCTCCTTCATGCCTAAGGTCAAGTCCTTGTATCATAGATCTCAGGAAATAGTTTTGCCGGACTTCTGTCCTAACCCATCTAATGACATAGAGGTTCAGTGGAACAAATCGGATGTGCGCAGGGCTTATATTGTTATATACAGAGAACCTCATCTTTCCACAGAACAGAGGTTCTGTTTGTGTCCTATCACCCTTCATCACCAGATCAGAAGGTTTCTTCAACCACAATATGCAGGTGGATTAGAGTTTGTATTTCTCTGGCATACCAATCTCAGTCACTGCAAGCTCCTAGGCATTTCACGGCCCATTCCACCCGGGCGCAGCTGCTACAGCTGCCTGGTCTAATCAGGCCTCCATAGAAGGAAATTGTAGAACAACAACATGGGCATCGCCCTCTTCCCTTGTCCGTCACTACAAGATGGACAAGTGGTTATGTAGATACAGGTAGTTATGTCCTGGTAAAAGATTAACACCTGACTCTTTGAGGGGGGAAATCCAATAACCTCCCCCACCCACCCCCAGCATCAACACTGCTGACACTGTTACCACTGCTGCACCACTAGCTGCAGATCAGATGATTGGTGTACTCTTGACTGATCAGCTGTGTTCTCAACTCTCTTGCAAAAGCCAATTGTTAATTTTTCTGAAATTCTGCCATCCAGTATAAACTGGATAAATATTAAGAGAATAACAAGAGTTGGAAGGGACCTTGGAGGTCTTATAGTGCAACCCCCTGCGTAAGCAGGAAATGCTATACCATTTCAGACAAATGATTGTCCAATTTCTTCTTAAAAACTTCCAGCTTAGGAGCAGTCACAACTTCTGGAGACAAGTGGTTCCAGTGATTAATTGTTCTAACTGTCAGAAAATTTCTCTTTAGTTCTAGGTTAGTTCTCTCCTGATTAGGCTCCATCCATTACTTCTTGTCCTGCCTTCAGGTGATTTGGAGAATAGGTTGACACCCTTTTCTTTGTGGCAGCCCCTCAAATATTGGAACACTGCTATCATGTCACTCCTAGTCCTTCTTTTCATTAAACTAAACATACCCAATTCCTGCAACCGTTCTTCATATGTTTTAGCTTGCAGCCTCCTAATTATCTTTGTTGCTCTTCTCTGCACTCTTACATGTGAGATGGGTAATATTAAAAAAATTAAGGCTATCTCAGAAGGTTTAAACAAACTCAATGGATTTTTAACAAAATATACTTGCAAAATGAAAGGACTTATAATTTGTCTTACATGTAACCTGCATAACTACCCTCTCCCCTCCCCAGTCTTGCTTCATTCTTAATTAAATCTTAAATCAGTTATTATACCAATCATCTGATGAAGTAAACTATAATTTATGAAAGCTTTTGCCTTTTAATAAAATGTATTGATTTGAAGACTTCATCCCATTTAAAGTCCCTGCAGTTATTATTTGACTTATCCCACTGCACATAGCTTTTAAGTAGTCTGTCTAGTTATACTTCAGTATACTGAGTAAAAGGAGCCAATTGTAGCTTATTTAACAAAAACTGGATAAATATCCATGGTGGATATCAGCATGAAGCAGGTAATGAATGAAATGACGCAGAGGTGGAGCCCATTTCATTGAACAGAGAAAAGAAACAAAATTATGATTAATTTCATAACAAGAGATGAGGGAAGAGAACAAAAGAAAACATGAATAAATATACAGTACATCTTAAAGTTAAGTCTATTATCAGAATACTTTAAAGTTGCTATTTAATGATTTTTATTCCTCCTTTCATTTAGGAGGTTGAGGTGGGTATATCATTAGGAACATAAATGTTTATTTGTTATTTATTTATCTATTATTTCTTTGATTATTTATCTGTTTTACTTTATAAATAAATCAAGGCAGTGACCATGCATAATGCCCCCCTCTTATTTTCCCCCACAACAATCCCGTGAAGTGGGTTGGGCTGAAAGAGAGTGATTGGCCCAAAGTCACCCATCTGGGCAAGAGTAGAATTAGACCTCCTGTTTTCTAGGCCAGCACCTTAACCATTACATCAGACTGATTGAATGCTGTGGAAATGGGTGATTTAAGTGTGCATAAGAAGAGACAAAACAAAAAATAATAGGTGCTAAATGAATATGGACTAAATACAAAAATAAGTGGCCGGTGCAAAAGAGCTACATTGAGATAATTTAGTTGCATAGAAAGAAAAAGTGTGGAAAACAGAAAGTGAAGGAAGAGTGAATGGATCAAGAGAAAAAAGAGGACTGAGAAAATTGTAGCTAGATTCTCAAAAACAGAGTTTTTTTTTTAAAAAAAATATGAACTGTTGTATAAAGATGGAAAGTTTCTAAGGATAAAAAATATAAAGGAAAAATAACAAATGGAACTGATGTAAACTACATTTAGCTATATCTGTTTCTTACCTCAAGCTTTAATTTTTTTGGCTTTTCTGAACTTTGCACATTGTTTACCCCAAAGCAAGAATAACATAAAAGTTATGTACTTATATAGGAAAAGGTGTCCATAAGAGTTACCAACAACTGAGCCCTTAAGAAATGTATAAGCAACATTTTTGATTCCAAGGCTTGCACAAGTAGAATGAAAGCTATATCCCCAAATACATTCATATCACTACATGCACAGCTCTTCCTTTACATCCATCCATGCATTGCTTATCCATACTTCATATTTCTCCATCTCTTATAGTCTCTGAACGATTATGCAAAAAGCCAAAACAAACATTCCAAAATTATTTTGGAATCTATCAGACAAAGAAATGTGTGCATTTACAGTTTAGTTTTTCAACTACAGTATTGTAGTGTTCAAATTCTTTTACCATTGTCAAAAATATATGATGCCTCTGTTTACTTTGGAAGGCCATGAACTGAACTTCTACTTCCCAGTATATATATATAAAAAAGACTCACAAATGTTATAATTGCCATCTAGAGGAGCTATATGTGCAATGCTGGGATGCCAGAGTGAATATTATTTGTTATGCTGCTGCTATCATTTTCTGCTACTATGGATATTAAGTTGTTTCTGAATGTTTCATAGGAAGTTGGTTGCACTGAACATAGCATTCCTGAACAATGTTCAGATGAAGGTTTTGTTTTGCTCTTCAGATATTTTATTTCCAGAAAAATGATATTGAAATTAGGGTTTCGACTGTCTTAAAACCCAAATAGATCCTTTCGTTATTTCATTGATAAAGTAGTCCAGGATAAATAATGCTTATATTCTATCTCAAAAAAAACATTGCAGACATAATTGCTATATAAAAAGCATTTTATTACTGGGAAGTCAATGTCTTCTAGATTTAGATTTTTTCAAAGCAGAGAAATATACCTTGGAGACTTATTTGTTTGAATCTAGATCCAGTGTCAAAATCAGGGACTGAAATAAGGTAAGCTATTGACTCTTCAAACACAAGAAGCAGCTTTCTTAAGAACATTCTCTCAATCTATAAAGATGTTGATTATGATAACCAAGAATTTGGTTCCCATCCCCTCAGGTCTAAAATGCCCCCGGGTCATTTAAGTCTTATGCCTTCTCCCCAAATTTCTTATAATATCTCTACCCTTAATGCCTGGTCAAAAGTATAAAAACATTTATCTGGTAACTAATTATCAGTTTCTTTAAGAAATGTGATATTCCCTCAAATCCTAGCATTTGGTCAGAATTTAAGGCAATTCTAGACATCATCAGCCATGTTACAAAAATTTGAATGCCAATGGTATTCATCTTAAAAGCTATGCTTATTCTAAAGTGACATTATATTGTTTTGTGTGTCTTTTTATATTTTATACTATACTTAATGTAGTTTTCAATTATTGTACTGCCTATGGAGGCAATTTGTGAAAAGCAATATTGTATATAAACATAAGCTAGAAAAAAAAGAACTATTACAGACCTGTGAGCATAACTTTCTTTTTACATCAAACAGTTATTTTTCACCCAAATAGCAACGCCTGGATGAAGCCGGTAAGTCTCTCATTACCACTTCCCAGCACAGCAAAAATCTTCCAAACTTTCTTATTAAAAATAACTTCTTCAGGGCAAAAATCTAATGATTCCAGCCACTCATTCCCACACTGTTAGTCTCCCAGTCAGGCAACACCTCATCAAATAGTCTTTTGATCTAAGGCTTTTGATCAAACAAGTCTTTCTAAAAATTATCTTAAACATACCATGATGACTGTAAGGGATATTGTTAGTCTTGAAACTCCACTGAAAAAGGAAGCTGCTCCAATTGCAGCAAACAATCCAGGATCAATCCATGCATGACTTTCATCAGTCTGAATTCCAAAAATGGAAACTAATACCAAGCCAACAATTCTCCCATATAAAGCTCCTATGTATCTGCAGAAGAAAAAAGAAAGAATATGAGAAAATTCTACACAGAAAATGCTTCAGATTGTGCTTATTTGATTAATAAATGATTTTTTTTATAATGAGAAAATTTTGGTTAAAATCTTGTGGCTGGGAATAGAAGATTCTCAACAGAAGATTAATTTGGCAACAAAGCAACTGAAGGCTGGCTTCTGGCTAACTTTGGATGAAGTGATTAGAACACCAGGAAGGCTACAGGTTAAATTGGGAAGTAAAAAAAAAAAAAAATAAAGTCAGTGGCTAACCATTTCTTTATTGTTGCTGAGAAAATTATATGAATAAATCCAGGTAGCAACTAGGAGTCATGTTTAAATCAACTAATTAATATTTTTAAATATTTTGTATTTTATTGCACAATAATTCCCCTAAAAAGCCCACGCTGTTTTTTTGTGGGTTTTTTTTTTACAAAATTATGAAAGCAGCATTGGGCTGTAAGTTCTGCCCCTTTAGGACCTATATCTGATGTCCCAAAGCACATATCAAACAGATGATGTTTAACAGTGTTGACACTGTTTTCATCATATTAACTTATTTGGCCATCTCTGCAGATGTCACTGAAAAGTGTCCTGATGCTTCCATAACTATAGTTAAGTTACAAAGGAACTTCTCCCACAGGTTGTTCTTCAGTTCAGGAAGCAAAAGCAATGAATGATATTATGGAAAGGTATGTATAACAAAACATGTGTGTAGCTCAAAAACAGCCACAAAAGAAATATATAAATATTGAAATGTTGAGAATAAGATGGGGGGAAAACATCTTTTTTGTAATAGGAGAAAACTTTGGGAAAGTTAAAAGACAGGTGATAGCATCATTTAAGTCCTGACAGAATTTAGGTGTCTCTTTAATCTTTGTGCCCTATTCCCCAGTTTGCTTTTTAGCAGAGATGACAGCATCCCCAAGCAATAGAAAATGAATATTATACTTACAGCATAGGTATAACCAAGCCACTTGCAACAGCAGAGCCCGAAGTCAAGCAGGACAACAAGAAATAGAGAAGAAGTGCCATAAAAAGAGAGGGATATCCAAATTCCTCATGAGTCCCACGTCTGAATAAGTACATGATTCCTTTCATGCCATTTTCTACCAGGAGGGCAGCAGCTTTAAATTTGGAAGGAGAGAGACAGAATAGAGAAGAGTTCATAATCTAGATTTGTAAAACACACAGACATAAAGATACACATCACATTCATTATGGTTCCTCCTCTTTTCTTTTTAGTTCATTACGCTCAGTAAAATGGACACAGATTGTACACAGTTGTTGCTATTGTTACTATTATTGCAATTATCTATGTTTTCTCTCAAAAGGATGTCAATAGAATAACATAATCACAGAGTTGGAAGGGACCTTGGAGATGGCGCAGTACTGCAGGCCACTTTAGCTGACTGTGTTCAGCAGGTCAGCGGTTCAGATCTCACCGGCTCAAGGTTGACTCAGCCTTCCATCCTTCTGAGATAGGTAAAATGAGGACCCAGATTGTTGGGGGCAATGCAAATATATATATATATATATATATATATATATATATATATATATATATATAGGTCTTTGGTTGTTCGGGTTTTCTCCCGCGTAAAATTGGAAGTGTCTTGGCAACGTTTCGACGAAGTCACATTCGTCATCTTCAGGCTGGTGATTTTAGCTTCTTGCTTTGAGCAGCAATGTGTGGTTTTAGCTGTTTCTTCCTTTTAACTGCCAGTGAGGGTAAATCCCCACATGTTTCCAACTGAAATTCCACTCCAACTCTGCAGCCACCAAACGGATCCTGAAAAGAACAGAATTGGCCCTAATCAGAAATGAACTTCACACAAAAAGATTCCTCCTAGACCGAATTAACAAAGATCTCCTCACACTCCACCTCAAACTCAGCAACAAGATCCACCCCGCACTTTGGGACAAATCCAAACAACTCGCCGTCTGGAGAGCCGAAACACAGACCACCCTCAAGACAGATACACACACCAACAAACTCCGAAGACTACAAGAACGCCAGAAACAAACCCCTCCTCCCTCACAGCCACACATGAAACAAACAGTGCATAACATCTCAGATAGGATCCTCACCAAAGCCGAAACCAATGTCCTTTCCAAAGGATTCAACTTTGCAGTCGCTCCCAAACACATCCCCACTGAAACCATTATATGTGGAGTTGAAACCAGCCTGACCAAAATCAACCCCGATGACGCTAACAAAATCAGACTCAAAATCACCAACATCCTCTGCACCAGCAAGCCACCCAAAAGCAACTTACCCAAAGAGGAACAGACAGCACTACGTAACCTGAAAGAAGACACCAGCATAATAATCCTACCAGCAGACAAGGGCAACGCCACGGTGGTTATGAACACATCTGACTACCAAACCAAATTAACCAACCTACTCCAAGACTCCACATACAAACCCCTAAATACAGATCCCACCACCTACCTGGAAAAAACCACCAGAACCAAGATAAAAGCCTCCCCCATTAGCGAAGAGATCCAGCAAAGAATCATTCCCAGAGAGAAATCATCCAGATGCCCTAAACTCTATGGTCTCCCCAAGATACACAAAGAAGGAACCCCACTCAGACCTATAGTCAGCTCCATAGGCTCACCTCTACAAAACCTAGCCAAATTTCTCGCCAAACAACTACAGCCCTATGCAGAATCCATCACCTCACACGTAAAAAACTCATTCCAGTTTATAGAGATCATAAAGAAACAAAACTTACAGCCCAGCGACCTACTAGTGAGCTTCGATGTCATATCCCTCTTCACCCAAGTGCCTATCAAAGAAGCCTTGACAGCTATTCAAAACAAATATAACCCCCCCAAACACATCTTAGATCTGACCAACCACTGCCTATCCAACACATACTTCATCTATAATGGACAAAAATACAAACAAACAGAAGGAGCACCCATGGGATCACCCCTCTCACCTGTCATTGCCAACCTCTACATGGAACACTTTGAAACCCAAGCTCTAGAAAAATCGGATCACAAACCCAAACTCTGGCTCAGATACGTAGACGACACCTTCATAATCTGGCCACATGGGAAAGAAAAACTGGACAACTTCCTCACACACCTCAACAGCCTACACCCCAAAATACAGTTCACCATGGAAACAGAAGCTAACAACCAACTTCCCTTCCTGGATGTCTTAGTCTACAAGAAATCCAATGGCTCCCTAGGACACACCATCTACCAGAAGAAAACACACACAAACCGCTATCTGCACGCTCTCTCACACCACCACCCAGCACAGATCAACTCTGTAGCCAAGACACTCATCTCCAGAACAAAACGCTTAGCTGACGAACAACACCTAAAACCCGAACTACACACTCTCACCAATGTACTAACATCCAATGGATTCCATAGAAATAAGATTACAAACCTAATCCAAAAAGAAACCCCCACCAAAATCCAAGACAAAGAACAAGAAAACGGCAAAGCCCTCCTCCCATACATAAAAGGCACCACAGACAGAATCAGTAAGATCCTCCATAAACACAACATCAAAACAGCATTCTGCACAAACAGAAAAATATCCACCATCCTTAGAAACCCCAAAGATAAAATTGAATTAGAAAATCAAGGAGTATACGAAATCCCATGCACCACTTGTCCCACCACATACATCGGACAAACCAACAGAAGAATAAGTGCACGCATTGAAGAACATAAGAACTCAGTCAAAAAAGAGGAACCAACATCTTCCCTGGTCCAACACCTTAAAGCCACAGGACATGAAATTGACTTTAAAAATACCAGAACCATTGCCAAAAGTGAACATTTTAATAACAGAATAATCAGAGAAGCCATCGAGATAGAAAAACGCCCACACAGCATGAACAAGCGAGATGATACCTCCCGCCTACCAGCCATTTGGAAACCTGCCCTTATTGACAAACGACTCCCTAACCCCAAAATCTTAAACCCCTCTGCAACTCAGACTAACCTGAGCACAACCAAACAGAACACTCCCCCAGCCAATCAGAGCACAGCCAAGCCCCTAACCATTCAGAACACACCTCCACCCAATCAGAACACAGCCAAGCTCCCATCCAATCAGTTCATACCCTCACTGGCAGTTAAAAGGAAGAAACAGCTAAAACCACACATTGCTGCTCAAAGCAAGAAGCTAAAATCACCAGCCTGAAGATGACGAATGTGACTTCGTCGAAACGTTGCCAAGACACTTCCAATTTTACGCGGGAGAAAACCCGAACAACCAAAGACCTATATACAAATACCCGCGAAAACCTCAGAAAACAAATATATATATATATATACACACATTGCTTACTGGTGTACACCGCTTAGAGAGTGCTTGCACTTAAAGCGGTATATAAGTCTCATAAATAAATAAACCCCCTGCTTAAGTAGGAAACCCAGAAAAATGGTTATCCAATATCTTCTTTAAAATTTCCAGTGTTGGAGCACCCACAACTTCTGGAAGCAAATTGTTCAAGTCTATGTGACTTTGCTATTTAGGTTAATGTCTTACATAAATAGTAAATTCACATATCCTATACGAGAGTGAGAAGCAACTTTTTGACCAGAACTGCTATTGTTGCTATCATTATTATTGACTCTAATAGCCATAGGATATGTCTGATGATGAGATGATCTTTTCAAGGGGTTGGGCCAATTTTTTCAGGCTTTTACTTTTAATTCTTTTTTAGACTCTATGGGGGAGTCTAATCCAAACTCTAATATTCAAATTTTAAAAGCTGAGAATTTTAGATACATCATGGCATCAGCTGCATATCTCATGAAATTGGATGTTCCAATACATAAAAGGGCTTTCATGGCAGCCCAATGAAATGTCTTGATAGAGCAGTGATGGCGAACCTTTGAGAGACCGAGTGCCCAAACTGCAACCCAAAACCCACTTCTTTATCGCAAAGTGCCAACATGGCAATTTAATCTGAATATTGAGGTTTTAGTTTAGAAAAAAACAACTCGTACATTAACATCTTTTGTCTTAAAAGAAAAACAGAATAACAAAGCTTTCAATGATACAAACAACTTTTTACTGAAAGGTAAAAAGTTTGCATTTGGCACGCTTTTGAACAATTAATGTGATTTTTGCTGTTGTATGCATGCTGATCATTTGTCTAACCTTGGCTCATACTTTGTAAGTTTGAGAGCAACACATGCAGCACTTAGGTCATCTGTTAGTCTGTTTCTGGTGTCAGATTTGATATAATTCAAAGCTAAAAACAGCGCACTCGCTCCGGAGGCTTGTTTTGGCTAGGAAGGGGCTCGAGAAATGGCTTTTTCCTTTGAAAACTTAGCCAAAAATTGAGGCGCGCGTGCCCACAGAGTGGGCTCTGAGTGCCCACTCTGGCACGCTTGCCATAGGTTCGCCACCACTGCCATAGAGTCCTAATTATTCCACTTCTGAATAATGTCACAGAATTTACCATCCAACCATATGTACAGTTCCTGCTATCTGACACGAGTTATAAGATAGTTAGATTATGTGTCGCTGTATATGAGGCACATGGTAAATAGGAGCAGCTGAACATGTTTCATTATGGTCTTTTAGCATTAGATTTAGGACCATTGCCTGTTGTTTTTATTAGCCAAAACCACTTGTATTGTGCTAAAGCTTTTTCTTTTAATTAAAATTTCTGTTTTTAACTTACCCCATCATTTATTTTTATCCCTTTAGCTTTTATCGGGTCAGCTATTAACATTTTATCTTTAAATTTCTTTCAGTTAAAATAATACCTTTACTTTTTGTGTTGGTTAATAACTACAATAAAGATTTGATTTAGCTTCCTTTTAGACCAAAGGAGAAAATTGACAGCACTGGAAATTATCAGTTTTACTAGCAATTTTGGTGGTACAAGCTGGGATTACAAAATAGGGAAAAGACCGCTGGGTTCTCCATCCCTGTTCTGAGAGAAAATATTGAAAGAATATAGTGTGATTAGAATGTTTTACAGAGGTCCACAAATTCCCAATATAGCATAATTTGAATCCAAATATTGATGAAAACCAAGGTTAACAACGTCAGAACTGATAGGTTTTTATTACAATCAGTGACCAGTCTACAAAACATCTGTAGGTGAATCTTGTAGAAGAAGATTTAAGCAAAACAGTTCTTGAACAGAGAGAGGGAAGTGGGGAGATTTTTTTTTTCTTACCTTCATTGAAGGTTTGGTTGAAAAATTCTGTTTCATTTGATCTATCTTGTAAAGTGGCTGGTTTACAGTTATATTTGCATATTTGCCAGCTAAGATGATGTCTGCTTATAACCAAAATGGAAAGAAATCATAATCAGTTCAGGATAAGAATATATAATGCAGGTGCTAAGGCAATTATTATCCATATTCTCCTTTCCTGACAGTATATCTGAAGCTCTTAATGTGCTTCCAAAGTTCTTCACATGCAAGATTTCATCTAAGCTAAATCTCTTGAACCAAAAGATGCAATATCGTTAACAAACTGCTTTCAATGCCAGTTAAACACATGGCTGGTGGTTGGGGTGGAATACATTTTTCACCTACCTAGGGTTTTTTTTCTATGCATTGTGAAGTCACTCATCTCCCTATTCAATAAAAAGTTGTTTTTCAGTGAATCATTCTAAAACTGGTGATTATTTGGTATGTTCTATTGTATGTATACTGTTTCTTACATTTTTTAATCACCTTTGGGGAATGGGAGGCTTAATTGGATATATGATATAACCTTCCTATTGCTATGTATGCAGCAATTAGCCTCCTCACCTCCTAATCCAGAAGACAGGGCTCTTTAGGATTCTTGTGTTTTGATGTCAACAATTCAAGTACCAAAGGTTTTGCAGTTATTTAAGGAACCTGCATACGAAAACTGGTTTTTTTTTTTTCTGTGATTCCTGCCAGGCCATAAAAGTGCCTGATTTCATACTTCTTGGCATCACTCTGAAAGGATGCTGGTATTGTCATAAATCGTTACAGAATCTCTAATTATGAGAAGTACAATATTGTATATCTGAAGGGAGTGTACCTTCCCTTTCCTGAGGATCTACTGTGAAATATGTTTATGGACTATCCCTCTAAATATATGACCCAGGTCATATGACATGCCTTGAAGTTACATGATTGAATCAGTTCTCAAACTGAAGTAGCCAGGAGATATTTTAATATACGTGTTCCTTCACTACTTACCTCTGAGACTTACTAGTTAGATCAGATGCTGGCAGCCTCCTGACAGGAGTACAGTGAAAAAAATATGGCAAGTAGACCGTAGCAGTAATAGTCAAAATCTGCATATAGTATTTTAAAATACAGAAAGAAATGTTCAATGATAGCCTAAAATCAGCCAGTTCAGACCACAGGAACATCTACAGATATATTCACACAACCTAGATCAAGCAATTTACCTATCAGATTCACAAAATATTTCAGAAAGGGGCATTTAAGCTCATGTAAGAGCTAAAATCAAAGGCAATAATCCAATAAAAATAATCTTCATAGCACTAGAACAATCAAAACTATTTTTATTCGTTTGCTAGTCTTTAGGCTGATAGTTTTCTGCAAATTGTTGCCCTCTAGAGATACTAAAATTTAATTTTTGAATGCCACTGCCTAATAGGAAGGGTAGGCTCCATGTGTGGCATAATGGAAAGCATTGGATTGGGAGAGACAAGAATATTGCACTTCATTAGAGGAGAAAGATCTGTTTTTGAAAATGGTCTGGAAATTTCAATTCATCTAAAATAAATTGCAACACAATTAACTGACAAATTGGGTCATGTTACAACTCAATGTTTGATGATAATAATCTAATTCAAAACACCACTTTGTATTTGGCCTGAATTTAATCAACAAGTTTGGGAGTATATGAGAATTGTACTTCTACTTATCTGGTCACATCAGTTTACAGAAAGAAAGGTATTTTGTGCTTTAAGTACGCTTTATGTAGTGTAATATATGTACACTTGGCCAAATAAAGTTCAATTCAATTCATATGTTTCTCAATGATACATTTACATATTCCTATATTCATAATCAATGTTTATTGATTATGTTTGCTTAGTTTCATTCTTAAATATAATTCAAATGGAAGCATTGTGTTAAACTTGAACTTTTAAAGTAATATTTCCAGATCTTTCAACTGTTCACCGGTATCATGGAAACCCTATTTTGTTAAAAACTGAATATTAGATTTCCTTGTAATAAAAACAGATAAGGAATTTTGCAAGGAAAGAACATTTCTGAATTTATTTTTATTAATAGTTTTTCTATTTCATAATATAAGGATTAGCAAATGAAAGTTGTTTTAAGAAGAACATATTTGCAATTAATTTTTGTTATCTCTATTATATTGGCATCTGTTACATTCCACCTTTGTTATTTTTATACATAACTCAAGGTGGCAAATCTACCTTACTCCTTACTCCTCCTACTTCCCTCACAACAACTCTGTGAGGTGGGTTGGGGTGCAAAACAGTGACTGTCCAAAGTCACCCAGCTGGCAGGACTATTAACTCACGGTCTTTTGGTTTCTAGTCTAGTGTTTTAACCACTAGACCAAACTGGTATCTTTGTGTCTTTTTACTCCAAACTACTTTTAATTTGTATATATATATATATAGTAAAGTAAAATATGTTAAAATACATTGATTATGAATCAATGTATTAATGGTATTTTCTACTGATTAAAGAACTACTGTTCAAAGGTTGCAATTTTCAATCCAAATGCAACTGATAGTGAGCCAGCTTTCGAGAAAATTCAGAAAGAGGGCAAAATATTGGAAGAAGATAGGCCAACAATTTAATGTTGGACTTCAGGGCTTAATGATTATGGTCTAGAAAACAGATTTCCGAATATTTGCCAGCAACTATGGTTGGCATATTCAAAAGAAATCTTCTGTATAGCAGACCACAGCTGCCGGCAAAATGTTAAGAAATCTGTTGTTTAGACCATGGTTACTAAACCTGGAAGCCCAAAGTTGTCCAACAGTGAAAGCCTACATTAATAAATTACTAAATATCTATGACTTACCATTCTGAATGTGGTATAAATATGTCTTTGGAATGCTCAACAAAATAACATTCAATACTTACAAGGATCAGGATACATTCGAGAAGCTTGATACATTTTCTGAGGGATGGTTTTTGAATTGTGCTGAAGAACCACAGACGTATTTTATTAATCCTTATGTTCAGGAAAACAAAAAAAGCTCCTAAAAGACCCCCAAGTATTCCAAGAAAGATGGCTGGGAGAAAGGCCAACACGCTCATATCCAGTAAGTTCTTTACCTAAATAGAAAGGAAACAAAATAAAATGTTCTGTAATTTTTGCCAATTATTTGATACATAGCAGCCTCCAGGATAAAAGGTACATGATGAAAACCATTCTGCATATAAAATGAAATTAGGTACATAAAAATAGTTTGTTCTTATAATAGTTTATAGGTCATCACCAAAGTCTTTTTTCCAGAACTTTCATTGTTTCCCATGGTCCTCCTTATCTTGAAGATTAAAATACAAATTCTTATTATGGGATTGTATAATTGATAATATTAGAACTGATTGAAATAACCTATTGGATAAACTCATACATGCTGTTTCAGGTATGACAGTCTCTCCACATCCCCAAGCAGACCTAAGAAGTTTAGAGGGATAGATTTATTGTGGAGAAATAGAAAGCCATAAATAGAAAGAATTTTCCATTTAAAGCAGGGTCCCCAATCCCCAGGCCCTGGCCTACTACCGAACAGTGGCCTTTTCAGAACTGGGCCATGCAAGTGGCTGGCTAGAGCGCACACAGCTCAACTTGCGCAAGCGGCGGGCCAGATGGTATTCATGCAGGTGTGCACCAGCCCATCATTTGCACATGTGCATGCCAGTCCACCACTCATGCAAGGGCTGTGTGCACGCACACGCCAGCCTGTTACTCATGCAGCCCAGTTCCCCTTTCCCCCTCCCCAACCAAGCGACCAATCTACAAAGATTGGGGACCACCAATTTAAAGTATGCCAGAACTTTCCTTTCTAGCTTTATGGTTTAAATTCTGGTTTGCTTCATTCTATCTTTTGAGTAGCTGCTCATTTCCAGTTTTGGATATTCCTACCATCTGTCACTTGTTTACAAAATACCTTTCTCTGGCATGAAAATCAGAGATCTCCACCTCACTGGCTTCCGTTCTATTAGGTTCTTCATTGGCTGGCTAAAATGATGATTCTTTTCCAAGCATAAATTGTTACAAAATTTTCTTTAGTGAGATTTCTGAGATGGCTAGAAGAGAAGTTATAAAGCTATCTTAGTTTAAAGAAAGGCAATCAATATTCTGGCAGGTTTTTTCTTTTCTTTTGTTTTGTTTTTTGGTGAATGGAGAAAGCATGCGAAGGAAGTAAATAAATTAACAGCTGCTTTTCTGTTAGGAATTAATACTTTTATCATGTGCTTAAGAGGACTTATTAAAAATAAAGCTTCACTTAAAAGCACTCTATAACTGCCCAACAGAAAATGGGGAGGCAGGTGTAATCTATATCCTATTCTCCAATGGTTGAGTTGGCTACCCTGCCACAATTCAATATGCACACATAAATTCTTCATTAGATTGCTACATGGTAGTCCACACAGTATTTCCAATTCATTCATTCATTCATTCATCATTTATATATGGCTGCCATCTCATGAAACATGACTCTGGGTGGTGTACAATAAAAGAAACTCCTATAAAACAGTGATATAAAAACAAGTAAAAATATTAAAGTTATAATTAAAGGCAAGGAGAGAGCAACAGGTATTAATTAACAGTAGAGCCACCTTAACATCTCACCATTCCCTTTAGACTCCCAGACCTGATGACATAACCAAATTTTGAGGGACTTATGGAAAATTAATAGGGATGTAGCCAACCTCATTTCAAAGGGGATAATGTTTCATAAAGTGGGCACCATGGCAGAAAAAAATCATCTCCTGGATTCTGCCAGGTGTAGCTCCTTGGCAGATGAGATCCACAACATACCTCTTGTACCAGATATGATGGGATCAGCAGATCTACTTGGGAACAGATACTATATCAAATAACCCAGCCCCATGGCCTAAAGGACTTTAAAGGCAAAAAGGTCCATCTTGAACTGGACCTGGAAGCAAACTAGTAATCAGTGCAGATCATAGAGCAGAAATATAAAGTGTTCTGTTCTAGGGGCACAAATAACTACCCACACTGCCACATTCTGCACAGCTGAAGCTTCTGGATACACCTCAAGCGCAGCCCCAGGTAGAGCACATAGTTAACCAAGAAGATAACTAGAATATTAATAACCACAAGCAGAGCTTCTTGATCTAGGAATGGACGCAATATGCACACAACACAAAACTATGCAGAGGGCCTCCTAGCTGTGACTGCTAGTTGCTCTTTAAGTAGGAGTTGCAAGTGTAGAAGACCCCCCCTCCCAAGTTTGCACCACCTCTGTTTGTGGCAGTGTGATCTCATCCAGCACCAAAGATGTCATAGTTCCAGAAATGGCAGGCCCCAAAACCCAGAACCAGTCATTCTTGCCAGAATTCAGTTGAAGCCTGTTGTTCCCTGTCCAAACCCTCACAGCTTCCAGGCACTGGGATAAGATATCAAAAGCATCACTCAGTTTGCCAACACAGAGATGTATAATTAGGTATCATCAGTGTACTAATGATACTTCAATCCATGGCAATGGATGAGTTCACCCAGTGGTGTCATGTAAATGTTGAACAGGAGCAGAAAAAGCACAGAACGCTGCAGCACGTCACATACTAGGGATCTTTCTCTCTCCCAGTCACATCGACTGATATCAGTCCTGGAGAAAAAAGGAAAACTCAACACAATAATACCCTCGATCTCCCGAGCTGATCCAGAAAGATACCATGATCAGTGGTAGTGAAGGCTGCTAAGAGATCAAGCAAAGCAAGGATAAATGCACAATTTTCATCCCACTCTCACCTGACATTTATCTAAAAATGTGACCAATGCCGTTTCCATCCCGGGCCTGAATGCATACTAAAAGGGATTAAATAATCCAGAGGTCCCAACCAAAATGGTCAGCTAGTCAAGTTAATTCCAGGACATGCGTATTGATGATGGTTCCCAAAATAAATTCAGCAAAGCATATCTCAACTCAGTAGCTTTCAGAAGGGAATGCAAGTTTTTGTTCAGAGCCTAACTTAACTCCCCTAGAACCTGGGATGCAAATTTGCAATTATTTGCTATCTGGTTGGCAATTTTATTTTTATAATGTTTTAACTATAGTCATAAACTACCCCAGATAAAGGAGGATGTTATCAATAAAAGAGTTTGTTTTTAACTGCCCCTCCGAAATATATTGTAGTTAACATTATTTGATTTGGTATCAACTTAATACATACCCAAAATAAAATCCTCTTCTCTGCTTTGAAAAATCCAAATTGACCCCTGTATACGAACCCATAGAGAGAAGAGGATAATAAATCTGAACTGAAAGCAGCCATCAAGCAGCAGAAGAATGTTTGCCAGGCCAATTTGATATCCCAGAAAGAGGCCACCTCTTCTAGTGTAAATAAAAGTCCACCCACAGGAGCATGGAATACAGAGGCAAGTGCTGCTCCTGCACCAGCTGTAACAAAATTCCTTCTGTAACAGAGTTGAGAAAGGAAAAAAAAGTTATTTTTAAAATTTACTCTATAGGATTATATAACATGATAAGACAATTGTGCACTTCATCTTCTACTTATAAAATTAAGTCTCACTCCAAATATTAACCATGGACTTGTGAGGTAAGAAAAGAAAAATGTTAACTCCAAACCCTCTACTTTATGTAGATACATATTATAGTTAGGTTGAGTTGCAATATTTAAGAAGGTTACAGCCAGGGCTTTTTTCTCATAGAATGCCCAGAATGGAGTTCCGGCACCTTTTTTGGATGGAACCTTGTTGGGTAGGCAAGGTGGGTTGTATGATGTGTGTCAGTTCCAGCACTTTTTTTTTTTAGAAAAAAGCACTGGTTTCAGCTAACATGGGGTTATGCGGTAGCTCAATGGTTAAAATGCTGGGCTTGTCAGCTGGAAGTCTGGCAACCCAGGTTTGAGACCCAAGTGTCACACAATGGGGTAAGTTCCCATTCTTGCTGCAGCTCCTACCAGTTTGAAAGCATGCAAATGCAAGTAGATAAATAGGTACCATTTCAGTGGGAAGACAACAGCACTCCATGACATCATGCTGGCCACATGACTACGGAAATGTCTTCGGACAGTGCTGACTCAATGGCCTTGGAACAGAGATGAGCACCGCCCCGCTACAGTTGGCAACGACTAGTGAAGTAAAATCCACAGGGACTCCTTTACTTTAACTTTTACAGCTAACACAAAAACAATTTTGTTCAGAATTGGTTTGTCAAATTGAATCAGATCAAGGCCTTTTGTGAATAAAGGTTCAGAACCCAATGTGTTGGCTATAATGCAGATCAGGTAGAATTAAGTTTCAATTGTTTTAAGTGAACATACAAAGATATTTCTGAAGTCTGCATTATTGGTCATGGACCAAATGTTTTCCATAAGTAACAGCTTAAGAAACACATCCCATATTTCTTTCACAAATTGCTAAAGCAAGTTAAAAGACAAAATGTATTCTGTTTATTTCGGCTGTCAAGTTGTCCTTGAGCCACAGATAACTTGTAATAGCTTTTTGTTTGGAGATACAACAAACAGTATGGTCAAAGGTTTAGATTTTATTTATATATTTTCATAATCCACTGTTTTAAAGCAATAGAATTTGATCCTTCAACCCTTTCCAAAATTTGAGCTTGACATGAACAATAACACTAGCATTTTGTTTAAAATAAAACATTCTGGGTGCACCATGGATTTGCAAATGCCATCATTTTACAAATAAAAGATAAGATTTGAACTCATATTCATATTGCAAGAACTGCTGATTTAATCACATCCAAATATTTTGAAAGTTTGTTACTTCATATAAACTTAGCATTTTATGCAAGCTATATCCATGTAAAATCCTGTATGAATAGAAAATTTTCATATCAACCTGTAGAATAAGCCAGCTACTATGTCAGTTCATGACAGAAGATAATCAAAAATCAACTCTGGAGAGTTATGTTCTGATATTCTTTTATGCATTTGGCTTGGCAATTTTAGCATATTTGTTTGTGCTGTCTGTACTCCAGAAATACTGTGCTCGATAATGTAACATGAATTGATTTCTCTAATCTCTCTAATTTTCTTTTTTCAATTAAAAAAAACACCCTAAGTAGATGTGTTGTTTTCAGATATATTATACAATCATTCTCCAGCCTGGTGCCTCAGAGACTATTCTGGTTGTAAATTGAGGGTACAGATTTGAGGAAGTTCAGGCTGAAAATCTGTATTGCAGCCCACTCTTCCAATGTAATACTGTAGATCTAAAGATATGATAACAAAAACTTAAGATGGTGGTCACAACCAGACAACCAGTCCTGATCCTTTTTTGTGTTTAACACTCATAGGTGTAGTGCTGTGATTGGAGAGTTGTGACCATTATCTTAACTTCTTTGTCAGTCCCCTCCCGCAGCAGATCCTGCTAGATCCAGTTAAAATGATGTTGTTCATGTATTGCATAAACTGCTCACTGCTCTTTTCTGCAGTGGAAATGTGAACATATTGAAGAAAGATGGGTCCCAAATATTCACAGCACATCATTTCAGATTCATAATTATTACAAGCACTGCAACCAACCTCCAAAGATGGGGGACAATAAATCCAACTTTCACTTCTGGAATTTTTTATGTTAAGAAATAAAGAGAAGCAAAGATGGAATTAGAAGAAGATCATATCCGGATGCCATCATTAAATTTTGTGGTGAAGATAGGACAGTGTACTATGTATCTTCACTTAAATGTCATTTATCCCCAAATGAAGTGTTTATGCATTCTGTTACGAATATGTTGTACAACACATTGTCTAGGCTTGGAAGGAACTTTGGAGGTCTTCAAGTCCAAGTCCTTGTCTAATTCAAGAATTTTCATACCATTCCAGAAAAAACAGTTTAAACATACCAGTTTTAAAAAAAAACAGTGATAAAGCACCTACAACTTCAGAAGGTGGGCTGTTCTACTGTTTAAAAGCTCTCACGGTCAGATAGATCCTATGTCTTCTATTTGTGATTTTTTTTTCCTGCCTAAATGAAGAACCTTCTATTTCTCATAACTGAAGAACATTTTGTTGACTGGAGCCCAATGTTCAAGTGTGTCAAGTTCCTTTTGAACATTACGCCAATCTTTTGGGGTTTTAGAAGTCAAATGTATTATTAAATCTAGGTACACAACATCCTCAGCATTTCCTAGGTCCACTACTCACCAGATATTTTCATTCTTATACATTCTATTATCTACACTGAGCTGATCCTTAGAAACATATAGTTGATAAATTCCCATACCTGTCAACTGTATTCCAAAATCTGATGATGGAAGGAAAATAAATTCTAAGAATCTTTGGTCTGAAGTGGCTCAATCCATAACCTATATTTGCCCTAGAAAAAACATTTGCAAATATGACTCTCCTTATTAATTTTTATAAAAATTTAAAAACACAAAATACACATGAGCAAGTTATAGAGTTATTTAGATTTTTCAGATTAATGATCATTCATCCATAATTTAGAAGTGGAATTTACAGTAAAAGTTGCAGCATAACATACTTTTCTTCAGTCACTTTGATTTTTTTCATTCTATTTCTTCCTTGATCACTTATTTCTGAATTTGTCTCCATTAAATATAAATGTTTATTAGGTTATACCACATTCTGTTGGTGTTTGTCATAAAATTTATACTATACTTACGTTAGTAAAACCTAGTTGTTTTTCATTAGAAGGAGCTCCACTTGTGTATGTGTATCTTGTCTTAGTCAACATACTGAAGGAGAAAATTAAGTCCCTGATATTCTACCTTTTATGTAGATTCATGCAGTGGAATATGTTTAATTAATGCAGCAATGCTTTATTTTTCTACTAGTATGCAGTTTTAAAAGCATAAATTATTTACCCCAAATGAATCATAGGACCTTCTGGTCCACAGAAGAATCCAGATGCTACAGCTAGAACACAAGAGCCAAATGTTCCTGCAAAAGTCCTAATATTAAAAATTTGCTGAATAGAAGCTCCATTCAGAAAACCAATGACTTCAGGTAATCCACTTGGGGCACCTGTTGGACAAAAGAACTACAAAAAGAAAGGAAGAATATTACTGTAGTTATCATATTCATAGTTAAATCTAAGTGTTATTGCTCTAATCAGAAGTTTACTTGTTTATTTAATCATAATGCTTGGTCTCAAAGAATCCTGGACGTTATAATATCTTAACAATGCTCTGTCAGAAATAAACTAACTGATGGATTGCATGGATTAGGGAAGTAGATAAGAGTTCTACCAAACTCTCTCTCTTTCTCTCTCTCTCTCTCTCTCTCTCTCTCTCTCTCTCTCTTTCTCTCTCTCTCTTTCTCTCTCTCTCTCTCTCTGTGTGTGTGTGTGTGTGTGTGTGTGTGTGTGTGTGTGTGTAAATTCTAAAGTAGAATTTTGGTAAAATCATGGAACTTTAGAAACTGGCTGAGTGGTAGAAACAACTAACATCCCAAATCACGTTTTCACATAAAATGATACTGTTTTGATCTTGTGATCATGCAGATTTTTGCAGCCCAAATATAATAGCCCTAGTGATCAGCTGTTTAAAAATAGAATGTTGTCCATCATAATGTTCATATTTAAAATGTGCTTTCTAAAGTATGGTAGCGTAAATAGTGAGTTGTCAGTCATTTTTTTCCACTACAAGGGAACATTTCCCATCTTTCACACATTGTTTTAAATTGTTAAGATATTTAACACTTACCACAACTAATCCTGATGATAAAATGATCATCGCAAGTCCAATTCCCAACATGTAAATCCAGGCCATGTGAAAGTTGCCTTTCTGTCCATTTTACAAATACACAATAAGCAATAGAAGAATGTTATAACTCTTATCACATGAATTTGCTGTACATATTCTGTTAATGCATTGTATAACCTCCTAAGATTTATCTAATCTACATACTGTTTGTAATCTACATACTGTCTTTATCATATGAAAAGAATCTCACAATGGATCAGAGGAATGGAAATTGGGTAAATTTTAGCCTGGGGAAAATATACGTTGGAGATCTGATTTCAGCATGAATCCCAATTAAAGAGTATGTTCCTGTAAAGAAGCAGAAGAATCCTGAGTAATTAAGTAACAGGACATCCCATTAAAAATGCTCTACTTCAAAATGAATATTGTTTTATTTGGCACAGAGTGTAGGTTTACCCCAGCTATCAATAATAACAGACATTCGTGTACTTGAACTAAAACTTTGATTTATTAAGAAGTATATGAAGACAGAAAGTCTTCACTTTTGTGTAAACTACATTTTATCCAGAGTTGTTCCAATAATGGGATGGGCAGTATATAAATTAAATAAATAAATAAATTTTAAAGTATGGTGAAGTCTGAAGGGAGGGAGGGAAGGAAAGAGAAAGGAAATTGGCTTATTGCTTAAGAGATTCATTAGCTAACAAAAGGACAGGAAAACTAAATATAGGAATAGTGCATGAAGGCTCTTATTAGTGGCTTGTCATTGGCTCTAGTGGTTAAATACGCTTGTAGGTACAAAGAGATGGTTCAGTCTCAACAATATAAATACAAAGGAATATATAAGCATTCTTCTGGTATCTTAAAAAGTACCACACAAAAGAAATCATAACCTGTGTTTTATCTTCTCAGAATACAAAAACAGGGAATGGTTTTAATTTTCAGAAAGAGGGCTTCAGAAAAAAATAATAATAATGAAGCAATTCAATAGTATTACCGATCACTCTTCCTTTTGCTGGAGATGTCAGATAACAGAGTTTTTAATTTGTAGTCTTGCACTGACCAGACTTTAGAATTGACTACTTAAACTATTTTTCCAACTCTGCTTGAAAGGTTCAATCAACAAACAGTAGTATCGTGCTCAAGAACATCTATAATAATGTTTATTATATGTCCTGAACTCTTGACTTTCATCATTCACTTTCAGACATATTTCTGTTCATAATCAAATCCACATGACAATAGTGAACAGCTACCTCAAAACAGAGGTACAATTGTTGATGTCAACAGCTTATATATTGAGGCTAAGCATATGTTTATTTGTATAACATTCACTGCATTTTTGCCAACGTCTACTGCTATTTTTTATCATTTAATAAAATATGAAGAATTCCTCTCTTCCGCTCAAACGACATATAGCAGTCCCTGTTTCATCTAGTAAGCCATCTCATTGGCCTCCAAGCCCTATAATAAAAATATAATGAAGCAGTGGATTTATATGCACTCACACAAGCAGAAAGCCATCTTAGGTATTTACAGTATGTATTTAGACTTATACATTTATTTTTAAATAAATGCATACTAAATTGGCTATATAGCTTAAGCTAAAAATAGTAGGTTCTAAATGTTATACGTATTACTGCATATGTTTAATATATAGTGTTTATTTATGTTAATATTGAAAAGATACTGACTTAATAATTTGTCCAGTTCCTACAATAATAATCGCTGCATTCCAGACTTTGCAAATTATCTTGTAATACAGCTACATCTATAATTATCATTCCAACTAAACAAATGTTTCTACTGCCAACTTTATACTAATACCCAACTGATTTGATACAGACTGGGTTATATTGAGACCAGACCTTTGGTATCCATTCTGACATAAATCACATTGATTTGAGTATAATTGTGACAATCTCCATCCAACTCATTGATCATTAGTGAGTACTTATAAAATCATCATCACAGAAGCTTTACATCTTTGGCAAAATATTGTTCCACCTTCCATCTTACAACTTTTTAATGTTTTTGTTTGTGTTGGATTGGCTGAAATCAAGATGTCTGGAGTGCCCATCACAAGTAAATTGACTCCCATGCTTTTGCAAAAATGTCGTGATACTGAGGTTAGATTAACTTGTGGCTAACCATCAACAATGCCTCAAAGATGAAATAGTTCAGCAAGCTACCACAAATTTCCTGCTGTAGCCTCAGGCCAGATCTTTTGACTGTAAACTGCAAACATGTGGTACTCTGTAGTAATTCAGGAAGACCAGATACATCTACCACTCACAAATTTAAGTGGTATTTACCTCAGTCTTGGAAACATTTCCATAATCTTCTCAAGTTTCCTTACATATGACTAGTAGAATCAGGGTTTTAACAGAATCCTGATAATGTAAAACACACCAAAAAACTTGTGGACTAAAACCTGTTCTAAGTCTTTGGTACCAAAAAAGCCATTCTTTACAATCTCTTATCATTAACAATTATTCACAGCCCAGGTCTAAAAAACCCTTCCTTGCTCTGTAGATCAGTGGTTCTCAACCTGTGGGTCGGGACCCCATTTGGGATCGAACGACCATTTCACGGGGGTCGCCAAACAAGGCTGTCTGCCATTTTTTCCCCTTTTCTTTGGCCACACCCCTGGCACCCGGTGATGTATAAGTGGTTGGGGGTCACCACAACATGGGGAACTGTATTATGGGGTCACGGCATTAGAAAGGTTGAGAACCACTGCTATAGATGCTTTATTGCTACATTGTGCATCATATTTTAATATTCATATTGAGTGATATCTTTGCATGCATCCTGTGTTTTGGATGCAAGTAATCTGGTCCCTGTGACCATCCCTGTCCGCACTCATGATGCACTGCTAATACCCATGATTTTTGTTATTTGTCTTTGATCAGAAGTTTGCTAATCACCATGTCTATCGTGATCCAGAATATTAGTGGATTCAATATAAGTCCCAAAGACAGGCCCCGGAATTAAGAACAGCACTTCCTATATTAACAGTATTCAAAGCAGTCAGCTTTGAAATGCTCCTAGACATTTTCCCCTACAAAAGAAAGGAAGGTATTGAGACCCAGCTTTGTTTAGTGATTAAGGCACCAGACTAGTAATCAGAAGATTGTGACTTCTAGTCTCACCTTAAGCATGAAAGGTGGCTGGGCAACTTTGGACCAATTGCTCTTTCTCAAACCTACAATGTCAGGCTCAGTTGACATGCTGGTCAATCAATTCCAACTGCAACCAATGGATCAATACTCAGTTAATCATGGGGTGGGGGAAGCTGACCCTGCATTTGTAAGAAAACATTAAGAAGAAGAAAAAAGAAAGGTATTGCCCATATTGACACTGACTGTTTAGTGGTAGAAAGCTAAGAAGGAATTGTGATGACTTTAAACTGCAAAAGATGGAAGCAAAGAATCTAAGACCAAACAGGACCATGATAAAAACTCACTGTAGGTATCTTTATATCCAAGAAGAAATGAGTAGCATTTAAAAGCAAAGAGTGTTAGAAGAGTTGCATAATTATTTGTTTGTTTGTTTGTTTGTTTGTTAAATTTATAGGCCATCCAACATCCAGCAGTTCTGGACAGTTTGAAATGTACTTTTGAAATGCACTGTTTTAAACACCCTTTTTATGCTGGAGTTCCAGAATGACAAAATATTAAATTGCCATTGACAATAGTTTTATATCTCAGCTATATTTCACAGACTATTTATATTCAGAGTTTTCATTTATCAAAGTAAAAGCAGACGTTTACTTGTACTACACACCTGATTTTTTTAAAGAATCTTCTGCATTGTTAGCAATAAATCAATACTTATGTATTCACTGAATTTTGCAGTTCTTACACAGAAAGTATAGCTTTCTCAGTGCTTTAAAAACCTGCTTTTTTAAGGACAAATTTTAAGAGTAGATACTACAGCATCAGAGAATATGTACACAGCAATAAATGCCTTATTGTTCATGTAGTTTTAGACATTAGCTATTACTTCTAAAGTTATCCTACCCAAAAAGAAGACATGCTTATTTTTTACAGTGCTCTACTTTGCACTTTTAGAATCTCAGAGTTCAAAAGTTTGGATCAAACAACAAAGAAAATGTGTGGAAAGCTACCAGAAGAACTATATCAGAGAAGTGAAAATAAAATGGAAAAGGAAATGAGATAGGCATCACATGTATGTATTAATCCAATTTTTTCATAATCTGCCTTGTGGTATGGATAATATACTGCAGATTTCACTGAAACAAGCACATAATAAGAATGAATCACTAGAACTGTCTATTCTAATACTTTAGGAATGAAACACACAAAAAAGTGATAGAATAATATAAAAAGAAGGCTTAGGTCCAAGGTCAGGCAATATTCTGGATACATTGAGGACCATGACTCCATCTTCCTTAAAGGCCCTAGTCAGTCATGACCAGTGAGCATTTTGATTGGGAATAAAGGGAGTTGTAGTTCAGGTTGGGCAAGGATATGATAAACTACTGAGAAAAAACTATTCTGCAAAGCCTGATACTCTATTGAAGAGTCAAAGGGGCTTGTCTCTGAAAGCTCCATTCAATTACTGGATTCAGTGAGGTGATGCATTTTATAAGGAGGCAAGGTAAATAGAGCGACATGGTTGTAAGGTAATTTGTATGAAAATTGGAAGTGTGGCAGTTAAAAACCTAGCAGGGTAATGGAAGAAAATATTGGTCATGTTTGCCCTCAGTCTCAGGGCACCAGTAGGACAAAAACAGCACCTTCTTCCTGCAACAGAAGTAAGCCCTATCATGTTTTTGATTATGGCCAAATTCAATGGCACAAAGACAAATGCCTTTTGTTTCTTCTGGCTGCTGCTCTTATAGATATTGGTTAAAACTTTCATTTGCTTTCAATTTCATAGTGATGTTTTTAACTTCTGCCAGGTTAAAATAAAGACCAGATGTGCTGAACTACTTATTCATCAGGCTTTCTCTGCTGACAACTGTGTCCTTGTTGTCAACACATTCAATATTATGCAGATTTCTTATAGGCTGCTCTATTTCAAGCATTTATCACTTCCCTTGATCTGACTCTCAATATAAATAAAAGAAAACCTTAAACCGAAGAATGCTACTATATATAGGCAGCAACAGGTCTCCATGGCTATCTGACATTTTTCAATTAGATAATATTTTTTCCCAAAATAGACAAAAAAGCATAATTTGCTTTATTAGATTAAATTAACAAGTTTTAAGAAAAATGGGAAGAATTACTAAATAGGGCCTGGTATGTTGCATAGTGTTGGCTTTAATCAATGTAGGGAAGAAAGAACTCCAACTGGATAATTGGACCTAAGTTCTTCTATTCATCTTAGCAGGTTTCTAAGGCATATTAGGTGCCATTGACCCACTGTGTGGGATAGGGGGAAGGTGTCAAAAAACTGTAAATGCATGATCAATGCTCCAACTCTCTTTTCATCACATAATTATATCTATTTTAACTTTCTTAGTACCCCCTTACAGAACCTCTGCCCCCATATTAGCTTTTTTCCCAATACATTTTGTGTGTGTACATGGGTGTTACTTCATTACCTTTTGTCTATGGAGATTCTCAGTCATCCAAGTTATGGTTAACTATGACCTGGATGATTCAGAGTCTCCATAGACATTCATTACCTTTTGCTTGCCATCTAGTGTTATCCAGATTTATATGGCCCAGATATAGTTGCATGCAAACAATGATTCATATGGCTGCTTCTAAAACTGTCCTTGCCTCAAATGGGCATAGTCAGAAACAAACAAGTCACCTTATGGATTTCAAATGCAAACATGCAAATTATCATAATTAATTGTGGCTTATTTGGAAATCACAGGCTATTACCAAGCTTTTCACCAGAGACAAATTTCTTGTGTCTAATCACACTTGGCCAACAAAGTATTCTATTCTATTCTAAACTGACATTTATCATTAATTGTCCTCATTGGGGGGCTGAAAAACTCACCTAGTATTAAGTAAACAGGAAAATGACCTCACTGCATTGCTATACAAGCAAAGTGGACAAAGATCTTTTTATAAAAATGGGCAATCTTGTGAAGAGAAAGTATGAAGTATGCAGTGATTGAAACTATACATCTTACCAAGCCATGGTTTGCTTAAGCATGTTGATTGGTGAGTCATATTTGGCTGGATTTACAAAACATGTAAAGCATAAACTTCATTTATGGGTTATAGTAGCTGGGGCAACATAATATACTAAGCAAAATAAAGCAAACTTTTATCTTGATGTCACCCAGCCCACAATTTAAAATCCCGAGGCAACTGTAATCAATACTTGAGCAGGGAGAAAGGTAATGAATGTAGCATAATCCTAATATCAGACAAGAACATTTCAGTTGAGTTTAACTTTGTAATAAAAGCTATATTGTATAATTTTCTTTTACCTGAAGATAGTCTTCCACCAGGCCCCATTTTAATTTGATGAGGTAATCAATTATTTGGTGAGTCAGGAAACCCAGAATTCCGATTGCTGTTCCAATCGTCCCCATCACCAACCATCGATCCCAATCCATTCTTAAAAAAAATGGGGAAGAGAAAGCAATTCCATATCAGTGGCAAAAAATATCATGGAGTTAATTAGTGGCTTTGGGGCAAAAGCTCCATAAAAGTTAACTAGTTAATGCTTAGGATGATGGAATCTAGATTTTAAAACTGATTCAGTGACTAATCCTGAAAAGCCAGAGACATGTAGGAAAACCTTCACTAAGAAAACAATGACTTTGTTTGATTCTACTCTGTTTTATTCCCTTTTTGCAGCACAACAATCCTACAGTCTAAATAATATGTGTGGCATATTGTAAGTCACTCTAACTATTAACCCTGAGGAAATTTCAACTTCTTTAAGAAAAAAAAATTAACAAAAGCAAACTGGTTTAAAATCATTATGTATTCTAATGAGAACTTTTGAGATGTACAACCATTTGCTTTTGAGGTATATTAATTATGGGTAACATTTAGCTTATATTGTTTTATATATATATATATATACATTTGAACTAAATATACACTGATGTAATAGCTTATTCTTAATTGCTGAAATATGAAAATAGTTCGCCAAATCCAGCCTCATTTTCACCATCATCCCCAGTTCAGAAACATTTCAAGAATCTTAGCAAGTTCAGTCCCAGTTTTCCTTAAGGAACAAGAATAGAAGTCCATCAGCACCACTGGACAAAGAATATATCTTTCCTTACAATCTGTTTTAGATGTTTTAAACTGCAGTTCTTCAATAAAACCTGCAAAGAATTATTGTAGATAAGTTCAAAACACAATTCTTTCCATTGTTTTACCACACTCCTATTTTTAAATTGCATATACTGTTATTGTTATTCTGTGAATTACTTGACTACTTTTAGCAGGAAAAATGACATAGAAATAAGCATTTTTCTAAAATGCCACAACACAAAATGGCATTTAAAACTTTCCTCATCCCTACTTATAGCACTTGCTCCCTTATCTTAATTGCTAGGCATATTGTTTGGTTCTTCTAATGAAAGAGTATGGATTTCTCAACTATGGATGTGATTTTTTTTTTCCTAACATGATTTGTCTTCCCATCTTTTGTTTTATTCAGTTCATCTCCTGTCTGATCAGCATGCACTTTTCACTGTCATCAACAGATGGCACTGGAGTACTTTATAATCCTTGTGTAGAGAAAAAAGCTATAATGGGAGGTATTTTCAAACTAGGAAAGATTTAGTGTCTCAAATGAGATAAGATTCCTCCGGTGCTGTGCTCTATTTGCTTGTGGGAGATAATTGATCCTGTAGTTTCCCCCATATATATTCTCTATAGCTAGTCCTCAACTTACAACCACAATTAGGATCAGAATTTCTGTCATAAGTCATTGTAGTCGTAAGTCACCAAGATTTGATGATAACATTTACAGTGTATTAAGCAAATCACTGTGGTCATTAGGCAAATCATCTGGTCATTAAGTGAACCCAGCTTCCCCAGTGAGTGTTTTTTAATTGGCAACAAAGATTCCAAATCATGTGACCACAGGACACTGCAACCAGTTGTGATCTGGTTGCCAAGTGCCAAAATTGCAATCATATGACTGCAAGAGTAATATAATGGTCATAAGTGCAAATACAGGTCACAACTCACTTTTTTTCTGAAACTGCTGTAACTTTGAATCATGGTTAAATGGTTCATTAAATTATTAAACTTGGGTCCCTTTAATTCTAGCACAACCCTTTAATCTCTATAGCACATTTGAATGTTCATTTGCAAGGTATTCACTAGATTAGAGATCTTAGTTTGCATAGAATAGTGTAATCATATTTGGGCTTTGTGCTTGCAGTTAAAGGGCAAAAATGTGCCAGAAAGTGGCTCATTCTGTTCAGATTCTTAGAGAAGAATAACGCCTATGGCATGAATATGACTAAGGTACTTAATTCTACCCTTCTCTTACTAAAACCATTATTTGAAAGCATCAGCTGACCAAACCATGCTTCACAGGAACAATGAAAAGTGTATGAGCTATAATGGCATTACATTGTGATGTAATAGGAGTGTGTACAAAAAGAACCAGAATGTATGACATGAAAGAAAAAAAATGATTCTTCTTACAAAACTAAGAGAAAAGAGAAAGCTACCAAAAAATTAACAATGGCCTGATCCTGTTTAGTGAAGGTATAGGTTTAATTATGAATAAGTGATGAAATATGTCAAAAATATTAATTGCTATTATATACTGTAGGTTGGTATACTTATAAAAGTAGGGATGCATAGACTGACAATATTTATGATAGCTTTAGGAAAGAGTAAGAGAAGGTCCAAAATGCAGCAGCCCTCATTTTCAACTTGGTATATCCATATAGCATATCTGCAAGACTGTATGGAGAATACAGCCTTGCAGATATGCAATATGGATATATATTTATCTATCCAGTGAGATCCAGTAGGTGAGAACCCAATCCCTAAGAAATCTTATCAGAAATGTTTAGTGTAAACTTCACGGTAGGAGTTCCTATCCTATGGAATACCTCATCCAGAAGACAGTAAAATCCTGGCTCTTCTGGATAGCCTTGAGAATAGCTGAGATGGCTACATGGCTCCTGATGTTGTTATGCCAGAAAATTGTGCATTATTATGTTCTTACTCACATTATAATTTAACCAAGCTACTGTTCAGATTTGGTTTGGACCGCAATGGTATATAAAATCTAGAAAATAAATCTTACTGGCTGACAATTAGATTCACTGAAGCTCAATGCAGCTGGAGAGGACCAGACTGAGAAAGGCAATATGCATATTCAGAAAACTACCTCTAATTGTTGTGGAGAAAATTGACTATATAATGCAGGGGTATCAAACTTGCCACATCATGTGACATGTCACAACATATTGTGACTTTTTCTCCATTGCACGGTTTCAGCATGATGCATCTGGCCCGTGGGCTGGCAGTTTGACACCCCTGATATAATGTCTTTTCAAGAGAAGCAAACTTAAATTTAATCAAAAATCTCACCAGTGTACTCTAAATAATCTGTTTTACTTGCTGGATTGTTAATGAAAATTACACATATCAAAGAAATAGATATTCTAGATTTGCTGTCATTAATTTCTGTCTCTTAATTTTGCTAGAGACATTAGAAATATTTCATGGACTAAATCAGTGTTTCCCAAACTTGACAATTTTAAGGCATGTGGACTTCAACTCCCAGAATTCCACAGCCAGCGTTGCTGGCTGTGGAATTCTGGGAGTTGAAGTCCTCATGCCTTAAAATTGTCAAGTTTGGGAAACACTGGACTAAATGATCTGACTCAGATAAATTATTTATGAAGGATAGGTCATGCTGCCATATTTGACCATTTCCCCTTGACTAGTATTAGCGAGGTGAAGAGGTGTATTACAAAAAAAGTGCTTCACTTTAGCAAGATTATATACCTGAATATACAATAATCCTGATTTAACTGTGCAACCATGTCAATTGACTCAAGAATGAAGCCTACTTATTTTCTGGAATTTACTCCCTGACTTATAGCCCAGTTAGTTCCTCAGGCTCACCAAATGTGCTCAATTAATTCCCATAATCACTTAGGAATTTATCTGGTAGCCATTATAACTGAGTAATTTTAGAAACTTGATACATATCTGGATGACATCAAGCTGGACACAGCTGCCATAAGTGCTATATTAATTCACAATATTAAAATCTACATATTTCATTTTGATAAATTTCTGAACAAAAGAAACTTTGTTAGCTTACTTATTGCATCAGATTTAGAATTCCTTCATCCCCAAATCATTTATTAATATACTACTACTTACTGGTACTTTGTCACTGTCTCCATGAAAGGCATTTTCAAACATGTGAGCATACTACATACCTATGATTTTTTATTATCATAAATGCATAGAGACAGTCCTCACCTACCTATCGCAGTTGGGACTGGCAACTCCATCAAGCAATGAGATCATGAAGTAAAATGTCACGTGACCGTGCCTGACTTACAATGTCACTTCAATTCTAGTTGTAGTTGTTAACGGAACCACCATTAAATATGACATCGTGTGACCACAACTTGCAACTTCCTACCAGTTCATTGATTTTGCTTGTCAAAAGCTGACTGTGACTGGGGGATGCTGCAACTGTCATAAGTGTCCAGCAGTTGCTAAATGCTTGAATCCTGATCACATGACTACGGTAATGCTGCAGTGTCCACAACTTTGAGGACCAGTTGCAAGTCTCCTTTTTCAGTACTAATCATAATTTCAAACAGTTGCTAAATTAGTGGCTGGTAAATAGGGACTACCTGTATTGGCAGTTCTTTGTAAAATTCCCAGTTCAGAGTGCTAGTCCTATGAGGATAATATCCAGAGTCTTATAGTTTCAAGACTTCCTGAAATTAATTTGGGAGATGTTCTCAGATTTTAGAGTACCATGTCCCCCCCCCCAATATGTGCCTCCCAATGAATAAAACAAATCACTTCTTGGGATTATGGTGGGGTAAGAAGTAAATACACTACTTCCATTTAAAAATTAAATTTTAATCCATTAGAGGAAATTAAAAGTCAAGATGAGCTCTGATTCTTTGTCTATGAAGGCCTGAATAAGTTTTTTAAAAACATTGACACCTTGGAGGGGGACCCAGCTCATTGTTTAATAATCCAACACCAATACCATTTAAAGAGTTAAGCTTGGTCAGTGATCACAGAATCATAGCTGATTACTGAAGGGGAGATGAAAAATTAAAAAGGAGAAAGTAAACTGAAAACAGCACTCCATGTTTGTCCCTTATAATAGCAATTCTAAGATACATATAAATACAGATTTAAGTCAAGTACCTGTAGGCTTGCTCCTGCAGCCACTTCTTATAAATGTTACTGTGTGAAGGCAAGTAATCCAGACTTTCATGGACTGAATGCTCATCTCCCTTCTCTTGAAGACTGTTTTTTCTAGAGCAATGACTATTGTTAGAGTTCCCTTTGCATTGGAGATCAAGAGAATCAACCAAATCAGGCTGCTCTTCTGCCAGCAACATCTGATCTTCAGCATCACCTGCACGTCTTGCGAGAAAGCAGGATTGACATAAAATCACACAGCTCACAAAAGATTGCAGCTTGTGAAGTAACCTCACTACCCAATAGAATGGGTGGCAAATTCTACAGGAGGGAAGAAATGCATCCGTACAAGAACTTGCTGATGTTGTGGGTTGGATTATTTTGGGGTTGCAACATACAGATCCAACATGTTTGCAGCATCGACAACCAGCCAGAACCAGATCTTGCTTTGTAACATAATGTTCTCACTGGAAGAGACTGGCATGCAACAGAATAGATGCTTTTTTTTCTTGAACATAGGTGACTTACAATGATAGGTCTAGGAATTAAGCAGCCACTACAAATAATTTGGCTATGTAATACAAAACTGTATTCCTTTACTTATTATGTAAAATCAAATCAGAATTCGGAAGGCTGCGGAAACATTACATAACAAGGCAGATATCAAGGATTGTTGTATAAGTCAAGTGATAAGGCCCATCATCAATATCCAAGTGTACTTGAGTTTGCTGCTATTGCTGCTGCTCCTCCTCTTCCTCCTCTGTGCCAATACTGTTTACTTTCTCTAAATAAGAGCAAAAGAAGCCCCCGTTTTTCTTGTCTCAAGAGAAATGTAAGCATGTGGGGAAAATGACAAGAATTTCTCATTTGCTCTAAATGAAAGATTCATAATGAATGCCTTTTGAGTATGACTAATTGTGGCAATCTGGGTCAATTATTTGTGTGACCAAGAACAGAGGCATTTTCTCTCCATACAAATACACGTACACGTTACATCCTCAGAGATGACTTCTGTGGAAGAATATTACCTGTCTTGGCTGAAAACGAAATACATGAAATTTCCCAGTATAAAACCTTGAAGTATACTTGCACATTCATCATGGAACAAGACAATGTAGTTGAAGAGTGGAGCGTGCTATTTTGTGTTAGTGCATGGACACTAGCATCACACAAATCCTTATGAAAGTTAGATGAAATATTGCTTTTATATATAAAAATAGTATTGATAGGCAATACACATAAAAGTAAATGGTAGCATACAGGAATGGAGACAATCCATGATTAAATCTTCTGAACATAGTGCCAGTTAATGTTTCTAAAACACACATTTCCTTTCTTCCTGTACCACTATGTTTACTGTAAACTTGAAAATAATATCAGTATTGCCTGTTTACATAAGATGGCTTGTAAGTCATAACTTAAAAGTTTTGCATCAGTGCCATTATTTATGCAACACTGATGGAAGAATACTGCAATATATCAGGCAGAGTTATTTTTGCTTTACAATAGGTAAAAATGGAAGAGACACATTTTAATTACAAACTACATTGTGAATCTCTTTATGGGCATAGCATGATTTACAGATTTCACATAGAGCAACATCACTGGTATCTGGAATAGGGTGAAAGGGATGGTGACCTTCTGACCATTAGAAGAACTTATCGAATTGTCAAAAAGGTTCATTTCTTTGAATATGAAGCCATTTGAATATGGCCATCTTAGCTGTGGAAAGAAAGAAAGCAATCTTTTTTATTGTAAATTAATAAATAAAAATTCTTATCACAGGACAAATGGTAGACACCTGTGCATATAATTAAACACTGCCATTAAACATGTTCTACAAAGTGTTTATTGGGGTGAAATGTAATAAAGCTATCCTGAAGCGTATCATCCAATTCCTTTTCTTGGTCAGAGATAATACTCAATGTATTTTTGCATTAAGTTAACCTATAATAAATGAGGTAGAACTCTTTTAACCTTATCCTGACTGTATTACTCAAGCTCAGGGTCAGCTCCAAACATTTTCCAATTCTTGTCCTTTACTCAAAAAAATGTGTTGAAATTCGTTTCTACAAGATGCAGTAAAGCTTAATTAGAAAAAGACAAGCTAGATTAGCAGAGAATGTAAAGGTCTATTGCCCATGGCAGCTAGGTAATAACAGTACCAGGTGATTGAATGCAAAGATGATGAAGAGATAGTTTCCCTTCTTATAGTAACAAGTAGGGACTGAAACACTGCCAGTTTCAGAATGTTGTTTAAATATCAGCAATTTTTAAGATATGTGGACCAACACCCAGAATTCCCCAGCCAGCATGAGAATTCTGGGTGTTGAAGCCCGCACATTTTAAAGTTGCTGTGGGTGAAAAACACTAGTTTAAAAGATGCCTCTCCATTTTGTGAAGTCTAAGCCTAACAATATTCATTTTGGGGTTGGGGGTTGGGTTACCTAATCCTGGGAGATTGGAGGAAGGGGGCTTCCCTATGCAGATGTTATTTTGTTGTTGTTTAGGCCTCATAACAGCATGATTGTCTTTGAGCAAACATACAGCTTAAAAATGGCACTTGTTCCAAACATTTATTATAGGCAACTACAGTGAAACAATCAAACAAACACGGAGAAGCGAAGGCAGTCAACACACATTAGAAAACAGAATACTAATAATGTACTATTCTCAGTATATCAGAGTCGGACCCTCAAAAAAAAAATCACTCATACAAAGCTGGTGCAATACATTTTGCTGCCTGAAGGAAAAGATAAGATGGCATCTCTTTATTCAACAGACATCAGCTGACCAAATTGATGGCTGCATCTTGTTTCAGCACTACCAATGAGGCAATATTCATCAATACCCCAAAATAACCAAGATAGCTTAGGCCTTGGAGCCATCACTTGGTGCACACAACTCTGACCTCGCATCTTCCCAAATCCTTATCCCTCAGTACTTGCTGAGGTAGCTTCCTTTTTTCATAGTAAGAGCAAACCTGTACATCAAAAGCCTGGGTTGACACATCACTAACTCTATGCCCTAAGGTGATTTTAGTTTTAGCTTAATATGGTGTGCTAGCCCAGTAATTGTGGCTTATAAAAGCATGATTGATGGCTTAGTATTGCATATGAACCAGGCCATAATGGCTTATTAAAACAAGCTATGGCTTAGCAGTATGTGTGAAGCCTGAATTGTATATCATACATGGTGGATGGATGGATTCATATTTAAGTAATAACATAGTTTTTATTTCGTATATTGTGTGACTTCTGCAAATTCTGGCTTCTTTCAGAAATCATGGTTAGAAAATAATGGCTTAGTACAAAATTTAAACCCATTCTCATACTTTTTAATTATCCTTTAACATTACCTTTACTTCCAGGCACATTTTTAAAAAATTATTGTGCACTGGGATTTAGGAAATTTTTTTTTGCTTGCCTTATTTATACTATTGTCACATATATATATATTGCACCACCAAATAGTTAATTTAAGGCTGATGTCAAGTTGCCCTGTCTTACACATGGCTCTGTGCTCAAGGAACTTTGTTTTTATAATCTTACTAATATCATTACACTGAAAAGTTGCCAAGCTTTAAGGGAAAAAGGCACAAAATGGCTTTAGGGGTATAATTCATCAACCTTCAAGGCTCCTCCAGATGGTTTTTGCAACTGCCCACTCCCAGTCATACTGTTCCATACTTTTCACTCCTGGCACCTCAGTTCATGTTATCCAGATCTTGAATGTAGACTCAGGTAGTCAATCACATATATATTGCTAATTTATCAAATTAAGTCCCGATAGAAACTTATCAAGGAAAGGGCAATATTATGTATCAATAAAGTATAGTGCAGTGGTTCTCAACCTGTGGGTTGGGACCCCATTTGGGGTCGAATGACCATTTTACGGGGATCGCCAAACAAGGCTGTCCGCCATTTTTTTCTCCTTTTCTTTGGCTACGCCCCTGGCACCCGGTGATGTATAAGTGGTTGGGGGTCACCACAACATGGGGAACTGTATTATGGGTCGCAGCATTAGAAAGGTTGAGAACCACTGGTATAGTGGAATGGAAATGGAAAAGCTGGTCAACTTGGGAAATGTATCTTATCAGATTTTTTCAAAAAGAAAGCCTTCTTCTTATGATTAGATTATCACAGTGGAGGTTTTTTTCTCAAAATGGTAGGAGCAATGATAAAAGAATGTATGCATGTAAATACACATACACTAAAAAGTTAAGTTCCATTACATTCAGAAAGCTCATAATCTAGCAAAATACATTTAGGAATTCAGGTCTGTTTACTTACCATGTGTATATTTAGGGCAATTTCCTATAAGACAATTTGTAAGATATAGATATCCAACTATAAAACATGCATTAGTTATGAAGGCCACATCATGAAGAAACTGCTGTTCACTTTTAATATATTTGAAAATATGGATTAATCTTTTCTTGATTTCCATTTATTCTGAAGATAGAAGCTGCAAACCACATTTCATGAAACACAAAGTTTTAACATTTTCTTAGCAGAAAGCATCCTTTAAACAGCTGTTTATCCTGTTTATTAATTTAAAAGGAACAAAGAAAAAAGAATTTATTCCTACATTTATTTATTTATGTAGGAATTTATTCCTACATGTCTCCACTCATGTAAAATGAAGGTGGCAAAAAGAAAATATTTCTAAAATTAATATTTATACTCTGCAAACAAGGTTAGACTGAGCCAATAGATTTATCCATCCACAATGGCTACACAGATCTTGTACCTTAGATAGTACCTTAGTTGCTGGCATATGAATAAGAGACCTCAATTTGTTCAAGGGGTTTGCATGTATATTTCAATCAATATGAAGAGAAAAGAAATAAAAGGCAGATTGAATTTTCAACACCTTACTGTCCATCTAGGGCTCCTGAACCATCGAGCAGCAATAGCACAAAACACAAAAGCACCTAAAAAGCCAGCAATAACATATTTACAAGGAGTTGTATCTTTCCCCTCTTATTATTTTTAATACTATACCTGCTAATAGCAAAGAGAATTCAAGAATTCAACGTACGAACTGAGCATCACAAAAGCAAAAAGGTTACAATTAGAGGGCCATTTAGTTGAAAATTAAGAATTACACATGCAGAGTCTAATATAACTGGTTCCATTAAAATTGCTCCAGCAGCCTAGATACCAAGAAAAAGAGGGTAATTAAGACAAGATTAGGAGCAACATCTGACTTCTCAATTTTGCAGGGTACTGCCAGCATAAATTTAGAAATAGCACAGCCTCAGGGAATATTTTTCACATTTTATTTACATTTGAAGACTAACTTTATTCTCAATCACATATCCATACACCTATTTCCTTTTTTTTTGTTTGTTGGTTTCACTAAAACTTAAATGCATGGTTTATTAGAACGAAGACTGTAAACAAATATTTGCAATGTCCATTACATGAAACACACAGGAGCTGCTTAAAAGAAAATCATTCCCCCATTTTATAAATACAAGTATCAAAACAATCCTGACCATATTCTGAAATACTACTAGCAGTCAGCACCCACACATTGCAAAAATTAAACAAGTTGAGCAATGGTATTTGCAGTACCTGCTACTTAATTGTTTTAATCTGCAGCTCTTTCACTAAAGCAAGATGGATAAAGCATGCCATTAGTTTTTTTTTCTTCTTGCAAAAAGTTTCTGAAACATTATTCCACAGCAACCTGACACTTCCGATCATGCGCTCATCTTGAAACACTGGAGTTCCAAATTTAGGCTACTTCAGGCTTATGCTTAAAATGATAGTGCTTGGTAAAGAGGAAAAAATTGTGCTGCCTTTTTTCTCTGATTGTGCCTGAAAACATATGGGGTATGTATGTATGTATGTATATACATATACATACATATATATGTATATGTATATGCATATATTCTTTCAATGTCCAGATCATATATACCAGCAGAAACTCTTAATGTGTGGGTGGTTTGCGTTGTGAAATTGAATCAAGACATTAACATAAGTAGAAGTTGTTTAAGACAAGTTTGGGATTCAGCTAAAATTAATTGTTGTAAGTTTGCCCTTCTGGAGGTTGTGGAAGCTTCATATTTTCTTTGGACATCATTTGACGCCTTAACTCTTGAAGTATAACTTTAATGCTATAAGAATTTTGCCATTTTGCTAACACTGGTATGCTCCGTGCATCCACCTATAAAGAAAGAAATCATACATGTAAACCGAGAATGTAGAATAATTTATTCTAGAATGGTGTCAAAAGCTCAGCATGTAATGCTCAGCATTAATTTGTAAGTGCAAAAAAAGGAGACTAATGATTATTACAACATGAAAGAAATTATAGCTCACAGTGTCTGAAATAAGAACTTTATGTTGGTGTCGTTTGAATTTTTTTTAAACCTAAGCTATAGAGGGATACTTTCAAGGCATGAATATAATTTTTCCTTAATAATTCAAAAATGGAAAAGCATATAAAAAGCAGGAAATTATTTATGCATATATGTTTTATATTCAAGAAATACTGTTTAACTGTTAATATGCTCTAATTACCTTTTCTGGGAATAGTACACCAAATATTCAATGGCATTTCTTTATCTTTAAAAAAATACTCAGCTATTCATATTTAATTTCTGGAACATGCATAACTGTTGGCTTTTAAAATAGAAATTCTTATATAGTATTCTTCAACAGTTTGCAGATACAATCTCATTAATTGTTTATCTATCTATCCAGGACAGTCCAATTAGATCTATACATTAAGGGGATTATCAGAAACAGACATCTTTAGCCTCCATCAAAGCTCCTCCTTGCAGCTGCCATGGCAAAGTGGGATTACAGTTCCCATTACTTCCCTTCACTGTGCATTTCCCATAGTCAGTTCTATGCTTTAACAATCTCTGATAACAAATAAAACACTACCAAATCAAAAGTTTTAATTTTCACTATTAATTACTAAACATCCTGTTGTGAGCTATTTTATATCTGAATCAAAATTTTAATATTGTGGTGTATTTACCAATATGCAATTTTTAAAAAATGTAATCAATCTCCACATCATTTTGGCAATAGTCACAGTGATTCAGATGTATATAGCTACAAACAATACGTGACAACTTATAAAGCAATATGTTCCTTAACCCTAAAAGCCCAGTCTCCCTGCCAAGCAGAATCCTTCACAACATTCCTGCCAAATTAGGTGGCTCATTTTGCATCCAACTTACCATTCCATTGGAATTATTTATTCCATTCATATTAATTTTAGTTACAAATCTAACTGTTGGAGGTGCCTCAGGATATTTAGGCCCACACTCTACTTTCAAGCTGTATATTCTGTTTTCATAATTTGTCTAGTAAACAGAGAAGACAAAAAGTTAATCATAAGGAAAATATGCATTCACAATTTTAACAAAACAAGTAAATAAACCCAGCCATATTTCAGGGATGGAAGACTTTTGCTGAGCAAATGCAGCAGAAATTGAAGAATGCTAGGGATATATTACAATATTCACTTCTATTAATCAGCTGATTAATAGATTTTAGATTTTTTTAGGAGTTGCATTATCACCATTCCAAAGGATTTGTTTGTAAACCTAGTTTCTATTCCACCTAAGACTATGTATAGATAGAAAACCTAACTGAATGGGAAAAAAACAATACAATATTTTCAATTTAATTAATATAAGCTTGGCCACAACATGATTATCTGTTGCTTCTCTACATGCATTATAGACTATTTTAGACATAATTTATTAAAGGATTTAGCCAAATATTTAAAAATCAGATAAATTTAAAAACATCTATTCCTATAATAGCAATTCCAAGTAATTATTCAAAGAATCCATTTTACACTGAGAAAAATACGTGGAGCTTCGAGAGCTCCTAATTGTTATTTAATTCTCAAGTTCCTCCAGATATTATCATTTATATTTATTATTGTGTAGAAAGGGAAAGATATTGCACACATGTGAAGTAATTAAATTGTCATTACATTCAAATTAAACAAAATCAAAGTTAGCTTTTTTTCTAAACATGATAGGTCAACTCTAGCTTGATTCTAAAATAATGTGCACATCTGACACAACAAAATAATGGTGGCAAAACAGTCAATTTATCAGAAATACAGAACTTGCCAAATAAAATCAATTTCTGTAAATTTGTAATAGCTTGAAGATAAATAAAACTAATTATACTTGAAGATAGATAAAACTAATTATACTTAGAGGCTAATTTTATTTCCCTTTTCAACTTAACCAAGCTATAAATATTTTCTTTACAACCCAGTTCTTCCCATTGAACAACAGTATGTTTTATTCATGTTCCATGTACATTTATTTTTATGCTGCCTTTATTATTTTTATAAATAAAGGTAGCAAATATACTTAATACTCCTTCCTCCTCCTATTTCCCTCACAATAATCCTGTGAGCTGCCTAAGAGAAAGTGACTAGCCCAAAGTCATCCAGCCAGGTTTCATGCTTAAGGCAGGACTAGAACTCACAATCTCCTGGTTTCTAGCCTGATGCCTTAAATTTTTCTGCTATCATATTCTGATGGATATTGACCTTTCAGTTCTCCAAATTCACGGCTATGCAATGATTGGACTACATATAAATTTACAAAGTAGGTTTCCCCTTATGCAAGGGTATTTCCTGATCTCAAGGGGTTCCCTATTCCTTTACCACAGATCTGAGGACCACCTAGAAATGCAGTCATTAAAAATAATTTCTGCTGGCAGAATGGTATCCATCACAATCCATTAAGGTAGAAGGAGTCAACCCATTAAGGTTTCTTCACACCTGTTTACTTCCATTTTCCATATTTGCTCAAGAAGCAATTCAGATTTGGAGCTAAAATAATACAAAATCAGCACTTAGGGAACTATCCTAACTAAAATAAAATGTTGGTTATTATTTCAATATATTGTTTCTGTGTACAAGTAAGCAGTAAAGTTCTTTCAAGTCAAACTTGATTCTTGGTGACTTTATGGATATACTTCTTTCTCTCTGCAGAAATATGGAAGTGTTTCACCAATGTAATCTTTCTTTTCATCTGCTAAAGCCCTGGGAATCCTTAGTTTTCCACTCAAGTACTAGCCAGCCCATGCCCAATTAGCTTCCATACCAAATAATGTTACCCACATAAGTAGTATATAATTATTTAATCTCTATTTGGCTTATTAATATACAATGATTAATGAAGTCATTAGCAAATAATAATGCACAAATCAAAAATACAATATACACATAAACAAAACTGAAAAATTGTGGGCACATATCAAGTTAATCATCATTCAGGTCAATTCTTCTGATTGAAGATTAATCTAAAAATTAATAGATGCTACAAAATAGGCTATCAACTGCTTCCTCTTCTAGATAAAATGGCATTCAGCATAAGGATCACAACTATATTATTATAATTAAAACATTCTAGATAGAACCAACTCTTAAAACTTCAAAAAGTAAAGTTGCAAATAGTGTATTTACTGCACCAAGATACTGAGGACTTACAATCTCTCTATTTCCAATCTGGATTTAGATTAATTGAAGTGCTATGAACTCCAACATTAAAATTCTAAATATAAAGCAATAACTAAATATACAAGTATGTATAGGCTTCAAATAAGAAAAACCTTCAATACCTCCAACCAGTGGCACATTTGGCAAAATAGGAAGGAATCCTTTTAAATGAATAATAATTCTAATATGATAGATTCTTCATTGAGTTTGGTGCAATAAACAGAAATATTTTCTGGAATTTTGTAACAGATACATGAAGGCCCTGACTTTAAAGTCTAATTATGATTTTCTAGATGATCACTGAAATAATACACATGAAGACACTGATGATGTAAATTCTTAATAATCCCAAATGAATGCTATGTATGTGTTTAATTTTTTTTATATTTACAAGTACATTAGGCAGATGGTAAACCAAGTATAAATCCTTTACTGTAATCGTGACTTAGAGACATTTGCTTACTATAAATTAATTAATCAAATCAATCTTTTAGATTAATTGAAATCTAAAAATTGAAGCCTCCTTCTGATCAGTTATAACTTTGTGGACTTTAAAAAAAATAGAAACTTTTATTAAAGCTGAATTTGAAACTGTATTAATCATCCAAAAGACATGACCTGGTAAAGATGATTATATAAAAGTTTCAATTGAAAATATATGTGCAAGAACCCTAAAATAGAAGTGTTAGCATGTCCTTCCAGAATGCTTACTTCAAGAGTTCTTTCCATGTGACAATTCTAATGAATGCCATAAAAATATTTGCAAGTAAATTATATTTGCTTCTTTTTGAAAGCAGAAGGAACTGTCAACAGTACATTTATACTTTTTTATCATTAATCTTGACTGAATCTTCTGAGTCAGCCAAATTCAACTTCCTGTATTCAAGCTGAAAAAATATTTATTATTCCTACCCTTGAAGAGCATTCAGAGGCTTCAACTGGTGCAGAGTGCGGCGGTGGGGGCAGTTCTTGGGGTCCCAAGAATGACCCAAATTACACCACTGCTCCGTGAACTGCACTGGCTGTTGGTCTGCTTCTGGAAGCAATTCAAGGTGTTGATTATTACCTTTAAGCCTTGCATGGCATGAGTACAGGTTACCTGAGGAACCATCTCACTCCACTGAGACTGGCCCTTTCCATCAGCACCAGCAGAGGAGGCATGCTATGGGCTTCATCAGCTAAGGCATTGTAGCTGTCTGGGGCCAGAAGAGCCTTTTCTGCCATGGCTCCTTCCCTTTGGAACATTTTACATCCTGAGATGAGATTGACTCCCATCCTCCTAACTTTATGCAGGAGGCTGAAGACCTGGCTCTGCCACATGGCTTGGGGTCCTAAGAGGCAATCCCACTCCCCCACTACATACACATCCTGTTCCCTCCCTCCTCATCTTTTAATTATAATTTTATTTGAATGGGAACTTCTATTTTTACTGTTTTAGATACATTTATATGTGGTGATTTTAATGTTTTATGCTGTAAGCCACCCACAGTCATTTCATTAAGAGATGGGCAACAAACAAATTTAATAATAAATAACAATTCCTTCAACAGCACTAAGTAAATCCTCAAACTTCTCAGTGCTAGGATCTCCATTCTGTAGAACTTCTCTCAACTTAAACTAATAAGTGGTACAATTACAAAAAAGAAGTACAAATAGAAATAAAAGAATTATAGTGTAAACACCATCCTACTTAAAATTATTTTACAGCAAGTAAACAAAATTCATTAAATTGTGCTCAGTTCTAAGATACAAATTTGTATCAAAGAGCAAAATGCTGTATAATACTAATACACAAAACTAACAGGGCAGTTATGTCTAAAACAGGCACAATGACTGATGATGGGATACCTAACAAGAAAATCATACTTTAAACTCAGCAACAGATACACATTTAGGAGGTCTAAAAAGGATACAGTGGATGGAGGAGAGGGTGAGTTGTGGGTTTTCATGTGGCAGGAGCTCTCATTCCCTTCTGTCTTTTGACTTTATCTCACATATTAACCCCCGGGGAAAAGCCCACAAAAAAAAAAGGAGGAAAAGCAACACATCTTTGGATTCAATACTGGCCAATTGATCTCGTTACACATATATACGTACACACACTAGTGGAAAGGAGGGTGATCTGCAAGAAGCCTAATATGGTCAAGATTTGTTATTTCTGAAAATAAAAACTTCTTGGCAAACTGTAGCTATCTAGTATCATTTCAATACTGAATCAGTGGAATAAGGTAATATATTTCACTATTGGACAGTATGCTTTGCTTTGTGAAATAGCCACCTGTGAGCTCTATTTTCTCAATATATGTTTTTATTACAGAGTTAATTAACATAAAGGTATTTGTCCTTATTATTATAAGTGTGTTGTTCATGTCTTAGATTGGGCATATTTGAAATATTTCCAAAATGCCCCAAAAGATAAATATTTTTTTATAACTTCCTCTATTAGTTTCTATTAGTTAAAAGACTTCTGACAAATATGAAAGGAAGACTGGAATGTAACTATATTAACTACCAATGATCATGTTCTCTTAAAACGTGACACAAACATTTTTTTTTTAGAAAAATATTTAACTTGCAGCACCAACCCTTGGTGGTCCAATAATCATGCCTGTCCACCGTGTAAGTGTCATGTCTTCATCATCTTCCAGACCCCAGCTTACTGTACCATCTCCTACTCCTTTTTGACCCTCTTCAAGTTCTTCCAACAAGCGAAAATTACGAGGGACTTTAACTATTGGGAAAAAATGAAGCAATATTAACATTGTTAAAAACAATATTACGAACTTATTTAACCTGCAATGTTTCATCTAATCCAAACATTATAAATCACACATCAGAATGTTTGTATTTAAACAAAACAAAAACACTTTCATGGTAAGCAAAGTACATCCCAATTGGAAAGTAAACCATTATGCATAAAATAATGTTGTTGTAAGTCAGAATTGCCCTTGAACTGTGAGATGGGCAGTATCTAAATTAGATGGATGTTTCACATTATGTGGATGTTTATTTTGGAATAAAAACATTTTGTCATTAGTCTTATTTTAAATGGTAGATTCTAAATATTAAATTTCATACTTGGAAGTCAAATCTAATCAATTTTTTACATCAAAAAAATTTTTGATAGTGAGAATTTTTTCAGTTTATATTATCAGTCTCCAGGAAACATTGTTAAATGTGAATAATCAAATCTTGACTTAATCCTTTTTCTTTCCAGAACATATACAACTTTTTTTCCATAGAAAAGCACTGAAATTAGAAAGATTCTAACTACTAGTTTTAGAACAAGCTAGAATATGAATCCAATCTCAAATTACTGATTTGTTGTAAAGCTGATGACTGTAATTCTGTGGTTTAGACAAAATAAGAAACTACAGACAAGAGTATTTTTTACTAGTTTTATTATATTGAGCAAGCAGGACATGAGGTGGGTGCTCCAGAGGGCAGGCAACTGACTGTTGCCGTTCAGTAGAGCAGGGCTTTTCAACCTTTTCACCCATTGTACCACTTTTAGGATATGGCAATATCCGAGTACCACCAGTTGCCTAGCAAGGTGTCAAAAACTTGATGACCCCCCCCAAAGGATAAAAATGATGAAGTACAGGCAGTCCTTCACTTACAACAGTTCGCTTATGACTGTTTGAAGTTACAATGGCACTGAAAAAAGTGCCCCCCAAGCCACAGCTGAGCAAGACATCTGCCTGCTCACCAGGTGGCACTCTTCCTCCTGTCCGAGGTTTTCATTGTTGTGAGCATTTCTGTTGAGGATTGGCAGCGGGGGTGGGGTGGGGGTATTTGGTTTTTATTCCCCCCCATCTGCTGGGTGTTGCAACAGGTTTTCACATGACCCTGGGACACTGTGACCATCATAAATATGAATCAGTTACTAAGTATCTGAATTTAAATCACAAGACCCTGGAGATGCTGCAACATTCCAGCTGATCGACGCTTCTTCTGGGCTCAGCTGGAGCACCAGGATCAGTGCAGAGCTCCAGCTGGAGCCTGGCGCTGATCCTGGCACTTCCGCTGAGCCCTAACAGCCCTACAGTTCCAGCCATCTCTTGCTCAGGCTTGTGCGGTGCTGCCACCGGTTCAGCTCATTCCCCTCCCCCACTACTTTTCTAGGATGGTCGTGTACCACCTGCCAGGTGCCAATGTACCACAAGTGGTACCCGTACCACTGGTTGAAAAGCCCTGCAGTAGAGCATGGCCAGGTACAAGGTAGGTGCTCCGGAGGGTGGAAGGATGGAAAAATGACAGGAGTTGGAACAGACCTGTGCCTTCACCTCCCAGTTTGTGGAAAGCTGGCAGGGAAGGTTGCAGTGATGATCATGTGACTATGGGATGCTGCAACTATTGTAAGTGGAAGCTGGCTGCCAAGCACCAAATCACAATCACATGATCACAGGGGTGTGGAACTTTGAGGACCAGTCATACATATTGCTTGTTCAGCACTGTTGTAAATTAGGACTACCTGTATACACTATGTCTGAAAATTAAATACTTTTTGTTAAGGTACTAGGTCTGGAAAAATATCTGGCGAAAAGTAAGTTTATATTTCATTTTCTTATCAATTATATGCTCCAAATCCACAATTGTACTAGTCACTGGAATTGGTATTAGATTATTCATTCAAATATGGTCATACATGATTCTTTGTCTAGATAACAATTATGCAAACATGCAGTACCAATTAAGTTGGTTGAATATTACTATTCCCACACAGTAATTTTGCTTTTGGAGGCACAAACTGAGGAACGATCTATGGGTTTTTAATAGATGGTACCTGGAGTTCAAGATAGATTTCTGAACTTTATTTTATTAAAATATACTGAAAAAATTAACAATTATAGCTATTGTACTGAAATACACAAATAAGAAACAGACTCAATCTACTCCATGGTGTGAATTCAGACAAAGTGGAAAAGGACTCTTTAGCAAATTCTAAACAGCTACCTTTTCTTACAGAAAAGCAGTAGAAATATTTTATTTCTACATAATGTAAGATATAAACACACACTATATTTGTTCAATACACACTTATCTGAACTAGATGTAGATGTATAAATTGCTTTTCTCATGTTTGTAAATAGTATTATCGTTGCTTCCCATAAGACTTTCTAAATGTACAGTTTTGGAAGAAAAAGTGGATATACACTAGCATTTGTCCAACTGTAATTGTTACCTAATGTATTACTTATTAAATATGTTTAGAATATGCTTTAATGGCTGCATACCTACCAACATTTTTTAAACTAGCTAAATAGTAAACAATTTCTGCTTTCACAAAGTGAAAGTGCATGTGTTTAAGAAGTCTAATAATTTTAAGGTTATAGGAATCTATTATTTACTCATCAATGACTATTATACATTGTAAAACGTAATCAGTATTAGATTTATGTGGTATATATGTGATGTATGTGATATATTATATATTGGGGTATCTTTAAAGACAATCTGTGAACTACTATTCATTCAGAAGGCAGCTGTCAAAATTTTAACAAAACAGTTAAGCACAATAGATACCATCCTAAAAAAACTGATTGACTATTTGTAAGTTTTATCAGACACAATTCAAGCACATAAAGCCTTAAATATTTTCAGACCCAGGTATTTAAGACAGTGCCTCACCAAGTACTTGATGTCCCATATATGGGGCTGGTCCCACATAGAGGCCGGCAATTAAGACTTCATCTCACTATTTAATATAAATCCTATTGTAGCGGCTCTTTTGGTTATTATACCCTACTTACCAATTTCCCTCTTAAGAGTAGATTTGGCCCTAATTTGTCAAGATTTAGATAATACTTGAAAACACATGTTTATTATACTTTTTGAAATAATACTAAGAATCAAAACTCTTAAACAGATGCCTGTTGTTAAAACATTTGTATAGATACAAATCTATTCCAAACGTAAGTACTTTATTTTAAAGCAATGGCTTATTTTATTGCTTTGCATACTGCACTGAACTCTGAGGAAGATACAAACATAAAAATAATACATTACTTACATTTAATTATTTAAGCATCCATTGTGTGCAAAACACATCCTGTTTAACAAGAAACAATATTTACAGTCTAAGCAAATCAGTATAAAGGGCAGCTGCCAAAGACCTAGTTGTCTTATGATGGCAACTGGAAGCCCATGGGAAACTCAGAAGTTATGAATAAAACAGCATCTCCAGGTAATATGATTAATGTTCACTGATTTAACAATCCCATCTATATTAACAATGGATTGAAGTCACAATAATTAGACAACTTAAAGAATCAAATTAATAACATAAGAATAGAACCTATAGCACTAGAACATTTAAATATAGAGTTGAGATGCAATGATGCCATTTCATGAACCCCAAGAACGGATTTAATCCAGATTTTTTTTATTAATTTAGAATACTAGAAAAATATAATTTGTAAATATAATACATATACACACTGAATCATTTGTTTTATTTTTCCACACTCACTGAAATGCCACATCATTCAGAAGCACCATAGGGTGAATTTCTGGTTAACTTATATGTCCTCTCCACAAACAAGGGAAAAAATGCAAACAATGAGGAAATATGGACAAAATAATATAAAAGGCAAGGCATATTGCATGCTACAAAGGAGAAAGAATATTCACATTTATTTTATCATACTGCCCAAACAAAAAAATCAAAGCAACAATCAAAAAAGGAAGAAAACTAAGCAAAATCCCAAGCTTATAAACTGCTTAAGTGGCAGATCTTTCCTGAGATCTGAAGGAAGTTAGCCAAGATGACAAAGGAGGAAAGTGCATGAGATTATATAAAAAACCTTAAAAAGAAGCATTCTTCAGAACCAACAGAGTAGTAAGTGAAGATGCCAGCCAAAACTCATTGGGTTGTGTTTTTTTAGCTCTGTTAAGCATGTAAATCCCAGACTTAATTTTCGAAACGAAACACGCGACTGAGTTCAGGCTGGCTTGGGAAGAGCCGCATTTGTCAGCATTGTGACTGGAAAGGGATGCGACCGAAGACATTGCTCAGTTCGCACAGCCCCAACCCTGTAAGTTTCCGCCACAGAAAAAGGTTCGAAAACCCAGGAAACCGCTCCCCGCCCGTCAACAGCCGCCTTGGAGGGCGCGTCTGACGCCCTAGACAAGAGACCCCGACACGTTCCTAACCCGGTTCCTTTCCCCTCCCCGGTCTCTTCCAAGCGAACTCCCTGCCCGGCGCCAACCCCTCGGCCTCTCCTCCGCTTCCCCGGGTGGAACTTCAGTCGGGCTGTACTGAAGCCGCTCACCCGCCCTCCGAGGGTTAGTCTCAGCCCCACGTTTAAAGCCCTCCCTCCCAACCGACAGCACCGCAGGAAGCCCCAAATGACCCCCACCCCAATCTCAGCACAGACCTGTGGATCCGGCCATCTTGTCCAAACCCCTCCCCCACCAGCCGGAAACACACTGGCGGCCAGCCGTGAGTGTTGCTTTGCGTGTAATGTCATTTCCTGGAAACAAGCCCCTCCCCTTCACTGAATTTTTTTTTTTTTTTTTTTGGTGGAGAGATCCGTGAATCTCGCGGCTAGAATGAGGGCCTTTGCAGCAGGGAAGGGAGAGCGTGTTAGTGCTGCCGCGTAAATGGAAGAAGATAGTTGGGGAAGGTGGGGCGGTACAACCAGTTGAATATTCTGGAGAAATCTGCTATATAGATCGTGTTCAATAAGCTACTGCTAATGTACTAAACAAGTATTTTACCATCTGACTTAATTCATTTCTCAGCATATAATGCTTAGCTTTTGTCGGGCTATCTAGTTTTGCTGAGGAATAGGCTTCAATGGGTAATAATCACTAGCTGAAATTCCCCTGAAATATAAATTTAAGTATGCAGACCAGTTTTTACATCTTAGGCTAGTGAGAAAGAAGATCATAGAAATGGCTAGGACCAGAAGGAAATGCTGCCAGTATTGGGTGATTTTTATCTTGAGGAGTGGTAGCTTTTATTGTTTTATAGCTTGATTTGAGATCCAGCCTTACTGTTCCCAGTACTATGCTTATAGGAATCTAATGAAGCTGTATATTTCCAGTTTGAAATTGAATGCTTTCTTCAGACTTACTAACCTTCAAAACCGCATTGCCCTCTGCAAATAACACGTGCCCTGACACCTTATCACCGTAGATAAGACTGCCTGAGCATTTAGTGCTGCTTTTATCACATTTAGAATATTTTTTTTACTATAATCTCATATGTGAGCTTACTTGTTACTTAATTAGTTTACGTATTACTTAATATATGAGAAGGAATAGATTTAAGACAAGCTTTATAACACTTAATTGCATGTTTTACTTTTAATTAAGCTGTCAAGTGAAGCAGAATACCCAATCAAATTTGCTAGTTAATATATATAACATGAAAGCCTTCGTCTTTGTTTACTTTTAAATGGAACACTGAAATGTGCATTTAGGAAGGGGAATTAGCTTAAATGGTAGAGCGCTCGCTTAGCATGCGAGAGGTAGCGGGATCGATGCCCGCATTCTCCAAGTGCCTTTTTCTTTTAGATTATATCTTCTTCATACAGCCCATAGTTAACAGTTCTCTTATTAAGGCAAATTGCTAGTTAATAATCCAGGATAGATTATTACTGCACCAGTGAGTGTTATGAACCACTGAGGTTTTGAATGGATATTCAAAGTTTCTTGGATATTTGATACTTAAGGGAGGAGGAAGGTTGGAACATATCTATGGGGAAGAAACGTATTTGATTATTCAGGAAGGGGAAGAGAGTGAAAGCAGCAGACATCTCACAATTTCAGCTTCAATAAGCTGAATGGGTGAATCTTTGCCTTTGAAGAAGTGTATTTTTGCCCTTTTTATATTGCTTTAAATTTCTTCCAAAGGAACCAGATATGAATGCTGTATTTGTGCTGATGGAGAACACGTTGTAGTACTTATTCTGGTCCATTCATTTCCTGTGGTGATTCATCAGAGGTTAAGTATGCTGTGTTAAGAGGGGAATTAGCTCAAATGGTAGAGCGCTCGCTTAGCATGCGAGAGGTAGCGGGATCGATGCCCGCATTCTCCAGTTTTCATTTTAGTCCGTTTTAATAAGAACTTGTATTCTCCACTCCTTGTTTTTTTATATTAAAAAAGCTAAAACGCGGGGTGGGAATGGGGATATTCAAATTAAGTCATGTATATTTCCCCTTCTCCCATATGCATTAACTTTTAATAAAATTAATGATAGTAGAATCATACTTTAGAATTTTGGGATGATTTTTTTTTTAAAAAATGAGACTAATGTATTATGTAGAGTAGAATAAAGATGTGGGAAATTAGCTCAAACGGTAGAGCAGTCGCTTAGCACGTGATAGGTAGTAGGATCAATCCATTAATATCATTTTTTATTACAAAGCTTTGCTTTTGACTGTTATATAAGAGAAATGGAAGATCAAGTATAGCAAAAGTTTCCATTTGTTTTCATCAGTGCTTGCAATTGAATGGTAAGAAGTAGGACTGGCTTAATTAAACACAGAAAGAGAATTACAAAAACTACTATTTGCTTCTGTTTTATCATAAGGTTCCAGCTCCTGATATAAAGGGCTTGTTTTCATTATAGACTGTTGCTTTGCAATATTGCTGCTGAATGATCTGTAAATCAACAGAAATCTCTTGATAATTGCCTGTTCTTTCTGATAAAGCTTTCTATACAGAAGCTTCCAAACTGAAAATAAGGGAGGAGAATTAGCAGCAACAGACAAGGGAGGGGAATTAGCTCAAATGGTAGAGCGCTCGCTTAGCATGCGAGAGGTAGCGGGATCGATGCCCGCATTCTCCAGTCTGTTTTAATAAGAAATTGTCGTACATAATGAAGAGGAAAAAAAGGAACCAGCCAATTTTTTATTTTCTGGGGTGGCTATGATTATTCAAGTGTTAATCTTAGAAAAAGTAATTCTGGAACTGCATTGCAATTGTTGCCTTAATATTAAAATAAAAAGCAATAGCAATTTTTTAAAAAGTAAACTAATATTATTAGTGGTTTATAAAGTGATGGATGTTGTGAACACTTTTTAATTTATGTTAATATTTAACAGCAATACTGAACAGATTTAGATTTGCTTGAAGAAATAATCTTGATAAATTAAGTGATATGTTTCTTCCACAGAACAGAACTCAGTTTTTGTAAATCATTTGCTATTTGTATTTATTTATATATTTGCTGACTCAGTTTATATTCTGTCTTTCTGAACACAAACTGCCTTATGTCAGAAACCAAACAAAGGAACCATTAAATAATTACATGCAAAAAGTAAAAAAAAAAAAGCCAACTGTTAAGGCAAATCAAATATATGTGTCTTAATTAATCTTGAAAAACACTGCTCCCCAGAATCAATGCCAATAGAATACTCTCTCCAATCTGCCAACTTAAAAAATAAAGATCTTTTGTGAGGAATATAATTTTCAATAGATTTGTAACAGAAATGGTATGTGCTCAAATGGTCAGGCCTTAAGCATCACACCAAGCATTAGCAACCACTGTAGATCTTTCAATTTGGGGAATATGTGACCTCTATATCAGAGATTAAGTAGTTACCTATAATATTTTGCACTAATTTCTGGATTCTATAATCTCTCAGGATTTGAAATGGACACCTAACATTAGAACCTTCACTAAAAAAAGTACATCCAAGAATGTTCTTCCTGCATCAATTTAGGAAGTTCAGACTGTCCCAGGAGCTGTTGATACAGTTCTTACAGAGGAATTATTGAATCTATCATCAGTACTTGTTTGGTGCAGCAAACAAACAGGACAGGTACAGATTCAAAAGGTAAAACAACAATTGCAACCATAGACGACCTATATATCGCAGGATCAAAAAAACGACTGAGAAAATATCTACAGATCCCTCACATCTTGGACATAATCTGTTTCAACTCCTCCCCTTAGGATGCCACTATAGGGCATTGCATGCCAAAACAACTGGACACAAAGACAGTTTTTTCCCTCATGCCATCACTCTGCTGAACACCTAATCCTTACAGTATTGTATTACAGTGTTTTCCAGAAAATAAGACCAGGTCTTATAATAAATTTTGATCCAAAATATCCACTAGGGCAGTGGTTCTCAACCTTCCTAATGCCGCGACCCTTTAATACAGTTCCTCATGTTGTGGTGACACCCAACCATAAAATTATTTTCGTTGCTACTTCATAACTGTAATTTTGCAACTGTTATGAATCGTAATGTAATATCTGATATGCAGGATGTATTTTCATTGTTACAAATTGAACATAATTAAAGCATAGTGATTAATCACAAAAACAATATGTAATTATATATTGTGAAATATTTATTTCTAATTACAAATAAATGAAATTTTGTCTTGAAGCATGGGTGCCGAATCACACATTCAGCTGCTCCACTTATGGCTCTGAAGGGAGACCTGACCTTTTCTCTTCTTTAAATGAGCCCTTGAAGTTGCCTGATTAGGTTAAGCATGACCTGTGAAAAATTAATATGATTGTGTATAGGGGGGAGTGCTTATGGGGAGGGAGAAAATAAGGATTAGTTGAGGTGATACTCAAGGGGAGCTATACTTGTAGACATTTGTTGTCCATGTATGTGATGTGGCCCACACAATTTGCCTCCAGCTGAAATTCACTGAGGGTGTGAAAGAGGACCCCTGTCCTTCCAGGACAATTGATCCTAATGACCTTCAGAGCTTCTCTCTCTGAATAAGGCAGAAGGTAAACCTTGGCTCTTTTATGACTCGTGGACTTCAACTCCCAGAATTCCTGAGCCAGCATAGCTCAGTTCTGGAGCTGTGCCTGGCAGAATCTTAGGAGAGATTTTTGGAAGGAGGTCTTGTCCACTGAGGCAGAGGCAGCAGAAGGAAAATCCATTCCTTCCTCCCACCCCACTGCTGGTTCCACTGAGCAATAATCAACTGCTTTTGGTGCAGCAGCCAGGGCAGGAAGAATGGGGGGCATTACTGCAGCAACTGCAAGAAAAGGCCCCTTTGAGCTTCTTGATTCCACACTAGGAGCAGATTCATTTTGCCCCCCCCCCCTTCCCAGCTTTCCAGATGCACACCAGGAAACACAGAAAAGTCAGGCAGGGGGGGAAAGGGAAACACATGCTGCAGACCAAAACATCCACCCAAAGCAGCTTTCATCTCCAAAGCCCCTCCCCCTTTGATCTCTTCCCATTTCACTACCTGGACCAGTTTTCCTTCTCCCACCTGTAATGAAATGGCGCTCCGTTCTCCTGCATCCCACAAGTAGGAAGCCATGGGGGGGGGGGAGGAGGGATTGAGCAGCAGGAATCAAAAAAGTATGTGCTGTCTTGCAGAGGGCTGCATTGATCTCAGAGGAGGAGAAGACAGGGGGGGGGGAATCAGATGCTGTGGGAAGAGAGGAAAAAGCTCTGAGCGAGCAAAGTTGTCTTTAGTCGTCGAGGAAAAGCGGAGGGCACCAACCGCACCGCAGGGCAAGAAGTAAAGAATGGAA